TTAGATTGCAGCTTTTGTTTGCTATGCAGTTTAATTTCTCCAAGCTATGTGGGAATGTAGGACCTCGTAAGTATAGTTTTCAATATTTGAACGTGGCTGTGCAAAAACAAATTTGCAAAGAATGCAACATATCTCCATACTCCAGTCTACAAAAAAAAAAAAAAAAAATCTGTAGGAACAGTCTGTCACATCTAATTGGCCTGTGTGTAATGCTGGCATAATACAATTATTAAGTCCCAGTGTCCTCAAACGAGACAATAATAAAGTCCCAATGTCATAAATACTTCCTAATTAACAGCATTTTAGCTTGTTGCTTTTGCTAAAATTGGTCAAATGTTGTATGCCATATCAAACTACAGACGTTATTTAGCACAAATAAACAAGTTTCGACCATAAAATCTGATCAGGTTTTGTACCTAGTCCATATTTGTGTCGGGATCAGCTGTAGACTGAGCATAAAAGTGTCTGCAATGAGGAAATAGGTCGAAGTTAAGCAGAATGAAGTATAAGGTGGAGGAAACTCAAATGTAATATCCCCATGTGAGACACAGGGTCTCAGTAGGTTAAAGATAAATATAACCAGGGTTTAATAACAAGGGTAGAACGATGACGACGACTATTTGGTTAGGGGCAGAGTGCAGCAGAATGACTGTAGTCAACATTAACAATAAGAGAGAGCGGGAAAGCACAACTGGAGTCAGTGTATCCATGCTGAGTATGTTTCTTTTAATAATGAGTATTAAAATCATTTCAAATATTCAGAATCTATATATATTAGGATGTCCTGGTAGCACACTGGGTACAGCACAGCAGCCTTGGTTTGAATCTGGCCCAGGGCCCTTAGCTGCAAGCAGGGGCTTAGCAACAAATTCTGGGCATGCAAAATCAGTCTTTGTGGGTTCCCAACCTTCCTGTCTTGATCCACATTTCTGCTGCGCAACTTTTGAAATTTTTATTTCAATGCCAGTTGGCTTTCTTTACTTTAGTTTCCTCATGTTTTTCTTGTTTTGGAAGCCCAGTTTTCTTTTCTTGGGGAAAGACAGGACAGTGCACATTGGTGCCCCAGCAGCGCTCACTCACGGTGCGCTCCATTTGTACTGGAAAGTCACAATTTCCGAGTTCCCAGTCACAAATTTCAACTGGAACCCCCTTTAAGTTGGATTTCTGACTCTGAAAGTCAGAGGAACCTCACCAACCCAACCTTATCTGCCCATCAGCAGCAGTGAAAGATGTAGTATTAAACTGTGTATTAGCTCTTCTGTCTTGTTTGTGTTTCACTGAAACAGTCATATGCACAGTCCTTTCCAGCTTCTATCTGTTGCTAAAGTGTTCGTATGCACAAAATGCAGTGTAATGAATTATTAACTGGTGTTGCTATCAACACCTTGGTTTCCTGAGTTGTTGTACTTGAACACAGTCAACTCCGACTTCCGAGGTAAATGCAGTATCAGCTCTAGCTGAGTCTAGAGAGGAATCGTGGTGCAGGGGTGGACTAAACCATTTTGCATGTTTAAGGGGTGACAGGAGCCTCAGAGAGCTTCCACAAATTTTTTTATACAAAATTTAACCAGTCCATTCGAGCAATTTCAATCAAGCTTTAGCAATAATCACTTAGAAATTAAACATTGAAAACAAAAAAACAAACTTTTATTCCAGGTTTTTCAAGACCAACCACCCCAGTTCCAACAAAAGAACATAACTTTTCTTAAAATAAATGCATAAATAAATTGATATCTATCAACAAATTGATATTTCTGACAACACTAGTTTGTTATGCTTTCCAAAAAATGTCATGTCTTTCTAAACACTCCTCCTTAAATTGGACCCAGTATTTAATTAATCCAATAATCTGATGTTAGTGTTGGAGAAGCAAAAGTAAATAAAACAAATTAGATTTCACCAAGGTTATCAAGATCATGTTACTGATAATAATTTGGAGCAGTATTCTCATATGGATTCAATTTAAAATGTAACTCGTTCAACTCTGTTCAAAAGAGCTCCTTAGCTCACCGCCAACTGTGTCATTAAAAGTACACAAGCGGCGCACTGCACAGGAAAGGTCAGCTCAGATCAGCACTCAGAGACAGAAAAAGGATGTTAATGAAGAACATGTACAGCCCACTGCAGTCTGAGAGTTCAAATGCAAATAGATTTGTGTGTCTGAGAGAGAGAGAGAGGAAAATAGGGATTGTGTGTGTGTGTGTGTGTGTGTGTGTGTGTGTGTGTATGTGTGGCGGCTGCAGGGTGGAGAATGCATACTTGTTTGTGAGCAACACAGGGACACTTTGTGTCTGTGAATGAGTTCACAAGTGTGTGATTCTCTCTCTCCCTCTCTCTCTCTTGCTGCTGGAGTAGAAACGGCTGCAGAAACAGTTGTGCATTGGGGGGAAAGCATATCGGACAATTAAGACAGGCTGTGTGTTGCACTGCTCTGTGTGGGGCTGATTGAATCAGAGAGACAGCCACTCACAGCTCTTCGTCTCAGGACATTGCAGGTAATTACCCATAAGTCACTGTTCCCCTGTATTGGATCTTCGGCCCAATTACGCCCACACAGGCAGTCCACCTCGGCCTCATTTATTACCTCCGGTTGCTTGTTGACCTTTTCAGAGACACAGTCAGACTGGCAATTCAGATACATTACACTGAGCAGAGGGTGTTACACCTTAAGTCTTGAAGACAATTTCACAGGTTTTGAGCTGTATGTTGATGTCGGTATATAAGTGTTAGTATGGAAAACGAGCCTAAGATGCTTTTTTAGTTGATGCCACATTTGTCAAAGTGACAGGTCTCCCCCAAATAAAAAATAAATAGTGTTATTTATCAGTTTAGATCGTTTTCGAGTTGCAGAGTGTTGGAGATAACGGTCTTAAAGATGTCTTCCCTCTCTTGGATATAATGAAACTAGATGGCACTCAGCTTGTAGTGCTCAAAGCGCTAAAAAATACATTTGAAAAACTCAACAGCAATGTCTCTTTGCAGAAATCATGACCTAGTTACTTAAGATAATCCACAGACATTGTTGTGAGCAGTTTTATGTGGGAGCTATTTTCTTTCTACCAAACTACACCCACCAACCGTATCACTGCGCCGAAGGAAGTGTGCATCTACTGCTAGCTCACCTAGCATCACTGAGCTAGTGAACGTTACAGCTCAGCTGAGGAGGACACCATTAATTTTTATACCTCACGCAGTCTCAAGCATGAGCCTCTCATCCATGAGTAGATACAAACTTGAAACTTCCCACAAGAGTTGCGATTCGGTTGGTGGGTGTAGTTAAGTAGAAACAAAATAGTTCCTACAAGAGCTGTGAAAGTATTCAAAGAATTTAAATTCAAATTAATTTTGGCAGATATGTTGTAGTTAAGCTGCTTGACTTGCTTGGACACAGTTGTCTCCCTGTCCTCTACCACCAAAACTGGACTGCAGTTGTCTGAACGCCTGGTCGAGTGAGACTTGCGGAGGCTGGCTGCTAGCGCTAGCATCAGAGGCTGTGCTAACTCAGACCTAAGTGCTGTGTGTTGAGGTGATATTTCAGGTTTTAAGTACTCCAATGGTACAAAAATTCCTCACTGCAGAAATTGCAGCGCTCCTATCAACAGCTCCATCTGGGCCTTTTTTAATATATAAATGTCATGTTCAGGGGCCCAAGCAGTGTTGTCTCATCTGCATCCATCATGTGACGAAGCCACTGTGGCCTTCATTGAAGCACAGAGTCAAATGGCACTATGGAACGCGACCAATCGGCATTAACTTTTATTTTATCTGAAATAAATCAATTGAAATTAATACGTTATTTTGACAGCCCTAGCTCCTACACGCAACTGTTCGCAACGTCTGTGGATTATCTTGATTAACAGGGTTAGGATTTCTGGAAAGAGACATTGCTTTTGAGTTTTTCACAAGTATTTTTTGTGTTCTGAGCACCACAAGCCAAACGCCATCTAGTTTTATAATACTGGCGAGAAGGCAGACATCTCTACGGCCAATATCTCCGAAAACTTACCAGCTCACGCCATAAAAATTTAGACTGATAAATAGCACAGTAGATTTTTTAATTTGGGGGAAAAATGTCCTTTTAATACTACGTGAAGTACAAACACAAATATACCACACTAACAAACCAGATAAACTGTTTTATTTAAATAGAATACAATAGTTGAGGAGCCAAAGTATGTATAACCACCTCTGACTAAACAAGATGTGTTTTTGTTTTCCATGTAACATTTAAATGTGTTCTGCTTCAGTGAAACCATTTGAAATAATCATCATCCCCTACAGACTACTTGTGCAAACATTACAAGCTGGCACTTCACATGTGCTGCTCATGTGTGTGCTAAATCAGGAGAGTTTGCGCTGCTGGAATTGAAATCGCATGTTTGTACATCTGTTCAGTGGAAATTAGAGAAAGACGGCTTTTATATAAATGCTGCAATAGTCAGTCAGAATTAAAGTCACTTTAGTTAATGCCTTGTTGTGAGGAAGGACTCTGTTAAAAGGAGTTTAACAGGTGGAGTTGTCAAAGAATGTGGTAAGCCTATAAGAGGCCATTAAGTAAACTCAGCAATCAGCTGTTGGGAGTGTGGTGGTGGTTTGTTGTGTGGGCCTTTATCGCCATCTGCTGGCGAATACTGGGCACAGCCGTTTAATAGAACCCTTCTGTAAATCTCCAAAATGTGTTAATAAAACAGTTTTATGAACTCAACACCATAAAACCATAAGATCTGTGTAATAACTGGACTTTAATGGCATGCTTTAAACTCTATATAAATGTACACTTGCACATTGTGGGTAATATGATCCCTCTGCTTTGTTGAGGTCACATGCCTCCAACTTCTCTGGTACGTGTGGGATAGTTGCCAAGTACCACCAAGAGTCACTCCCACCCTGACCCATCAGTTCTGCTTACACAGCAAATTTTCAAGTCAGCATGCTTAAATATAGACATTCACAGTCATATTTTTATGTTTAAACTTTAACAAGAACATACACACACTCCAAAAGGGACTCCACCATCTTTATTCAACTCTCAGTTTCTATGTTTGACAGCCTTAACACAATACAACTCTCTGTAAAAGCATCAGGTTTTCAGGGTGACTGTTATCTTCCCGCAGAAACCATCATTAATTACAGAGTGTATTCCAATAGTCGTTACTGCTTCACAATCGTTTTCTCTCTTCCCTTTTCCAAACTGTAGAGTCATGTATTTTTTTTTTTTCTTTAAGCAAGCCGTGTATAAATTTGTGCTATTTTGCAACCTGCATAGCAAATCTAGAAAATGTTAAGAAAACATACACAGGAAATACCGTGTACTTAGCATTTAAAATGCTACTCCTGATAGGTGTTTTAGCTTGCAGACTTTCAAAGTGCTGTGTGAATTCTGGAGAAACATAGAGGATCGTTGAGTCTCATTCCCAGGTCGTCAAATACTGACGCTTTGGGTAGGTAGTCTGACTGAACCACCAACTCAGAGCGTCGGTATTTGACGGCCTGGGAATGAGACTCAAAAAATCATCTGTCTTTCTCCAGAGTTACATACAGCACTTTTAAGGACAAACATAAAAAAAGACATTCATGGTAGTTACTGCTGTTATATGTGCCCAAGAACAATCAATCAATAGCTTGTGTTACAGACAAAAACATCACTGGTATAAACTTTTTAAAGTCTGCTTTGAAATGTTTTTTAGACTTATTTTTTTCTCAGTAACAAGTCAATGCTTTCAGGTTTTCCCAGTAAAACCGTCTTCAAGGATTTCTGATAATAATCGAATGTAATTTTTCCCGTATTTGAAGATCATATCTTTTTCTGTTCCCTCAAATATCCTTACATCTTGAACTTGTTTAAAGTGTTTATCATGCTCCTGAACTACCCTCTCCTCTGTCTCCTGCCGGATTTCATACAGACGCCACTAGAGCGTAGTTTCTGCGCCTGGATTCATTAAGGATGGAGATAGCAAAATGGAGGAGGTCATTTATGAACATGACAACCACATACACTCCTGAGCAAGGGTGAGAGCAACCCACTGACAGACACGCAGAGACAGGTGAAACATGGTGTATGTTCTTCAAGGCACAAATTATTTGCATATCTTTTGCCAAATGTAATGAGTTAACAAGCTGCCAGTGCATGCTTTGCTTGATGTGTTTATTGTGTCTTCATCAGTGTGATGTTGGACTCATGTTCATCTATCCTACATGCACGCTGTCAGGAGTTGCTCTGCCCTCTCCCAGGGTAATACTAGTTGGTAAAAAGAGCACTTGACCCTGGTGTTTCTGGCTGGTATTAGTATGAAGCTGATATCAGAGGCAGCTTACAGCTGCTCTCATCCTCAGCTCATGCCTGCGGGTCAGGCTCATGGAGTTTGCTGAGGCTGCTGTCATTCAGCAGGAGGCGAGCGTCACTGTCAGTTCTCCCTGACATTATTGGTTGCATCGCCCATCAGCCCGTGTCACTGTCAGGAGGCGGGAAGTGCCTCATTACAGTGTCACAAACCGACCGGCTGTTCGCTCCCTGCGTCACCAAACAGCCTGCGTCAGTGTCAGCATCAGCTGGCCTTGGGAGCGACTTCGTTTTCAGAGCCTGCTGCCCACTGTCAGCTGTACTTTGACTTTCAGCTAGCCTTCTCTGTTACTCAAGGCCTCACAGGGGCCCCTTGGGCATCCTGTGGCATCTGGTGCATGTGCACTACTTGCTGCATCTGGCCTAAATCTAAATGATCTCCTCCAACTTGCTCCTGTCCCTGCTGACTAACACCCTGCTGGCCATGGTTGTGATCATGCCCACGGGGATGAACGCCATGATCAACACCATGATGGCCATGGCCGTGGTGGTGACCATGGCCGTGGTGGTGGCCATGGCCGTGGTGGTGACCATGATGGTGACCATAACCATCCTCCACAGGTGGGGCGGTGTCTGCATCAGGCTGTGCATCTGGTGTTCTCGTGCACTCCTCTGGGGTCTCAGTGCTCTGTGGAAAAATTTGAGAAGATAAATGGAAACAGAGCCAAAAGACACTGCAGCGTATGAGCTTATCTTTATAAAATGTGTTACCAAAGTATTAACAGTGGGCTTATGCTTGTTTAAACTGTATGTTCTTGGAGTTGTGTGTGGTCTGTACCTCATGTGTGCAGTCCCCACAGACGCGTTTGCAGTAGGTATCTTTGATCGCACCCTCAATATGACCTTGTCCGATGATGGAGTACGGAAGAGAAATGTGGTAGGTGAGACGACCACACCTGATGGCCAAGGGATAGAAAAACATGGTGAGGATCAGAAAAAAAGAAGAATATTTGCTCTGGATTTGCCTTACACAATGTGAAAACTATACACTACAGGTAACACACCTGTCATAGACGAGGAAGTCATCTTTCTCTCCGCCCAGTGCCTGCCAGATGTCAGGCTGTTGCTCGTCCTGCTTGTAGAGTGTGATGTTCTCTGACAGTTTCAGGGCCAGCATGGGGTGCAGGCGCTGTGCTTGCTCCCCCTGCTGGTTAACAACCATGTAGACCACGTCCTTCAGGCCCTGATTCTCAAGCTTCTGGCGCAGGCCGTCCATTCTGTTCAGGTGAGGGAGATCAGAGTTTAAAAATCAGTTGCCAAGATAAAATCGTTAATTAAGTTTCACCGGATAGTTTGCTTAACAAACAAGTATGAACAGGATGCACTTCTTTAACAGTGAACTTTGTATTAGTTGCACAAACAGGGCCAGTCTGAGCCTGCTGTACCTCACTGCCAACTTGGCAAGCCTTGCAGAATGGGCCATAGCATTCAATGGCACTGTTTAATATCTAATACCATTAACAAAGCAGTGTGAGCGTCATGTTTTGCCACAGATTCAGGGTTCCTATGATGATGTAATGCCACACTTTTTTCAAGATGGACATTGGCTTACACATGACGGGCCCATACCTGGAGGCCTGCACCAAGCAGAACAATCAGCTGGCCTGCAGAAGAGCCACCACCGTCACTTGACCCATGGCCCCCTTCATCGGCTCCACCTCCCCTATCTTCCAGGCTGGTGGCAGCTGACAGCGAGGACCGCCCCCGTCACTCTCTGCACCGCCCCCATGGAGCAGGCAGAGAGTGATGAGCAGGCTGAGGCACGCCCACATCCCTGTGGTGCCTCCTCTCTGCCCCAATCTGCTGAGCACAGAGAGGGGAGGGATAGTGGGTGGGGAGAGGGAGAAGTTGGGGAAGGGGTGAAAGAGGAGACAAGGGGAAGGGAGTATGAGATTTGGTCAAACTCAGCAAACAGAAGTGGAAGGATTGTACAAAAGGTCAGAGAAGGGGTTATCATTTGTACATTCTCCAAATCGGCATAGGTATGCCAACGCAGTTTATTTGAGGTTCCCAAATTTGTGCTCTTGTTGTTTCTATACAAATTGAAGCTTGTGGATACGTGGTAAAATCAAAGAAACAGCATGTAGTTGAACAAGAAGCAGCAATTGTTGAAGCATAACATGTTACATTTCTGATATATTACAACATGTATAAAGGCAGAGAAGTTATATAATGTAGATAACAGTTCAGTGACGTTTATGAGAGTAATACAGCCACAGCTATGAAAAAATAAACATTTTTTTTATTGTAGCTGTAAAAGAATCATGTATAAAAATAAATAAATACATTTTGCTTTCTGTGCATTGCTGCATTTTGAAGTAACTCAGTGAAATTAGGTGGATTCTGTCACTTACCCCTTGTGTAAAAAGTTTCTTTCTCTCAGCTCAGCTCTGCGTTGCTGCAACTCCTTGAACAAAAACAACTCTCTTCCTCCGCTGCTCCCCCCTTTTATACTCTGCCTGTTGTTTTTCTATGTGGAGGTAGGACAAAGTTCAACCCCAGCTGTTTGCTGATGCCTACACTTTCCTCAAGTTAAAAAAGTCACAGTGCACAAAATCCCCTTGTTGACAGGATACAATCACTTTATCTGATGGGGTATGTTTCTCTGCAGCTGGCAGCTTGACAAATTCCTTCGGGGGAATAGTGTGAGGAGAAAGAGCTGCCTGTCTCACACGGGCGGTGAAGATATGTCAGCCCTACAGATAGTGCATGCATTTGCCTTGTAAATTAAATTAAATGCTTTGACACTGTGTTCAGTATATCGTAGAGGTGTGTTATGAGCCTTCGCGATGGTGCAAGACCATTGTGCAATTCTGTTTTTCACTTTCAGCGAAGAGAGGGGAAGCGAGAAAGGACAGAGGGTGGGACTCTGGTCAGTTTCCAGCATGTCGCTGCAGAGTCACCATCTACACAGCTAAACAACATGCACATGTGACATGATTGAGCATTCCTGAGAAGTTATCCTGCGGTTTAATACACACAGACAGAAAGGGAGGATAATATTTACAGGGTATTGTGTAGTGCTGAACTAAACTGGGCATATGCTGCAAGTGTAGGCAACACTGGAGGGAGGACGCATGAAACACAGGGTTATAGTGTCCTCTGCAAGAAAGATTTTGAGCATCGAACTCAAATCATCAAATATGCTGCATTCTGGTGAATTTTTATGCACCATTTTGTGCCTTCTCTGCATCCATTATATCCCCCTGAGACCCTGTGTACTCATGAGGACATAAAATTTTGGATTTACTTGACGTTACACTTCATTCTGCTTAACTTAGACCTGTTGTCCTCGTTTGTGGACACTTTTTTGTGCCATCTAGTGGTAGTAAGAGCACAATATATTAATCCATGTAAAAACAAGATGGCAGCCATCTCTGCCAAGTCAGTCTGCAGCCGATCCTGAAGTGGACAAGGTCCAAAACCTGATCAAAATTTATGGTTGAAACTTGTTTATTTATGATTAATAATGTTTGTAGTTTGATACGGCAACAAATTTAACCAATTTTAGCAACAGTAACAAGCTAAGATGCTGTTAATTAGGAAGTACTTTTTTGAAGACATTGGGACTTAGGCTAATTGTTGTCTCGTTTGAGGACATTGAGATTTATTATTGTTGACAGTGTTTAGTTTTTTATATTTATCGGATCCTTCTGAACTCAAATAGCTAGGAGAAATCAAAAATGCATACCAAACAAAAGATCAGGTCTGAGGAGGAAATGTGTCTTTAATTTTGTCAAAATAAAAGCCCTTGACTTTTATGTTTTTTCATCAGGGGAAATAAATGCACATGTTCTAAATACTGACACATTCTTATTTTTGTTGAAACTTGTTACCCAGTCTTAGGTGAGGGAGCAATTATTGTGCAACACTGCAGGGACAGAGACCTATGTGACATCCACAGTTTAATAAAAAAAAAAAAGAGCTGTAAATAGCCTCAAAGTCCAGTCGGGCAGGTGAGGTTATCCTGCTGCAGATATAGGCCCTCTAGTTTGGAGCGGTGAGAGCATTGTTACAAGATTACTGAGGTCAAAGGCCAGTTTTAACTAGGCCAGTCGATGTCACTGTGGTTAAGATTAAGTGTGAATATAAGCTATTACCTCAAAAACTATGGTGAGCAGTACAGCATGGAGGGATGGACACGTTAACAGTAACACCCACACAGTATCAGACAATCTAATTCAAGCTTGTTGTTACAACTGTGTGAAAGAAGTGTTTGTTTTTCTCCATGGTGATTTTGAGGATGTATTTAGCACTGCTGTCAGGTCGGGTTTCCTAGTGTCATGGGTGTTCCCACACCCACTATATATCTCTACAAGATTTACCACTTTAGTTCTCACAATTAAATATTAGAGATCGTCGTTAAGACAAGTTGAACAGTTAATTTCCAGCTGCTTGTGCTGATTACAAAAGTTCTGCAGATGACTTAGTCGTATGCTTAACATGTGAGATGGACCTATCTTGCATACATTACATGCATACCAACATGGAGGATGCACAGTAAATAATCCCCCGAGTAGAAGTTAAAATTGAAGATCTAAAAGGACACATACAAACAGAGTGGAGCAATAACACATGACGGCTGTGGTCCAGCAGACAACATGTATCAGTGTGCAGAGTAAATGCAGGTATCAGTGACTATAAACATCACCTGATCAGTGCAGTGAGATGCCTTGACTGTCGTGTAGTGTCAGCTGATACAGCAGAGCATGACATTTGTCCTGCCAGGTCGTCTATGACCCAGTGTTACTCATTTACAGTGTCTGGCACTGTGACATACGCTCTTTATCAGGGCACATTGACCTGCATATAAAAATGCAAATCAGTTTGCTTTAAGAAATCTGAACTGATGATGAAACGCCACACTAAACATTACTGAATAACCAACAGTTAAACAGGTGGAACAGCAGAGATCTGGACTTGAATCACAGATTTGATGACCTCAGACTTGATTGACAAAGAAAAAAAAAAAAAAAGACTTGCAACCCGATGTGGACTTTAGCACCAGTGACTTGGGACTTCACTTGGACTTGAGCCTTTTGAGTTGAAAATAGCTGATAATGAAAATGACACAAAAGATAATTTCGTTCACATACATAGTCAACAAAAAACAAATTGTAGTATTCAAAACTTGAAAATTACAGACGGAGATGCAACAACTTTCATCAAACTTGTTTTAACGTAATGATATGAGGAAAATATGCAACATGTGATAACATTGCTGAATATTGCAGTAACGACATCACAGGCGACAAACAAAAAGATATTAAAGTGCACTCAGTGTTGTCTTTCTGCTTGCTTCAGTAAACTGCTAACATACAACAAATTACTTGTTGAATTTAAAAAAAATGAAGGGAAACTATTTACAACATTCTTTTATCAAATATATTGAACAACTGACTCCTAGAGGCACCAATTGCAGTTTTCTACTGATATTCTCTTTCAACGAATTCAGTTCCTGAATGCGATATTGCATTCTTTCACAATATGTTCATTGTGCAAGTTGGTATTGCAATAACGATAAAAATGTGATATATTGTGTGGCCCTAATACAAATTTTTAAAAGTATTTATGATTTTTTTTTAATTTAATGTATTACTCTGTCGTTAATATGGCATTACATGTGGCAAAGAGCATTATTACTTAGTCCTACTTATTACTAGGACTCAGAACTGAAAGCTCAGGACTTGCTTGTCAGTCTTGATTTGGGGTTAAACTTAAGACTCAAGTGCAAAGACTTTAGACTTACTTGTGACTTGCAAAAACAATGACTTGGACCCATCTCTGTGGCGCAGTATCTTAGAAACCTGGGTCAGCAAAACATTCTCAGAGATAGGCCTACTTCACCCTTGGGTGTTGATGTCCCCACAGTTTGGTGCAGTTGCACTGATAAGAATCATAATCATGCACCGTACTGTATGCCTCATGCTCCCTCTGCTTTTTTTATTTATTATTATATAAAATCATCTACCCATATGCTGCACCTCATTTCAATTCAGAATTTTATTCACAGAAACATATTAAAAAAAAAAAAGTGCAATTCATAAGAAATAATGAAACTGTGAAATGTAACACCCTGATAAGCTATAGAAAGCCTAATGACAGGGGTCCAGACATGAGGAAAAAATGTGTTTAATCAGACAAAGATAAAGACACTGCAGTGTTATCAATCTCATTCCATACCTTTGAGTTTAAGGTTTCTACCCTTTATAAGATGCTTTTTCTAGTCTCATATGGGAGGAAAACCCAGCTGGAATAAGGCCACAGTCTGTAGTTGAGCGTAAATACAACATTATAGGCTACATTATACTAGCTACTTGTAACTTCCAGTGTTATTTTGATAGGGAGGATGCATTGTTACTCTTATTACTATCAAATAAATTGATTTTAATGTGATGTTAATTTATTCAGAATACACTTTTATTCGTGTTGGATGTAATTAGATTGTCTCATTCTTAGTAGTTGATTCAGAGGATGATGTAAAAGGTCGCCACTCACCGCTGTCACTAAGCAACGCTCCTCGGCGTCCCTGCCTTCGCAAGGGCTTCTGGGAATCCGAGGCCCGAGGCTTGAGCGACCGCCCTTTTTGGATCAACGAGAGTAGAACAGCGCTACATGCGTCGAGGGAAATACTATCGCAAAACAACTTTCTGAAGCAGCGTAACCAAACTCGAGGTATGCATACCGATGGTTTGTGACGTGTATTTTGACCCACGGCGGTTATAATTAGGAAATTAGTCTGGGAAAAGTGTATTTTAATGCGCGGTTTGATGACGTAATGTTGATTGTCAAACGCGAAATGGCGAGCGTGCTAGGAGGCCCGTTACCTGCGACACTCTGGGGTTGTACTATGTTCATTTCCTTCATGTTCCAGTATCGAAACGCTTATATAGGTATATCCAGCCCTGGTAAGTTGGGCTGTGGTTACATTTATGTCTCGGGTATGTTAAATCACTTATTCTTTTCTTCTGTTGGGGGCAGGTTTGCATGTTTGCTAGTCAAGCTAACATCTAGCTAACATCTAGCTGGGCTAGCAAAGCGGTCAACGTTAGTTAAATGAACATCCATGTGTGGGATTACACACTCTATTACACGCCCGTCCCCTCGTGTGGCACGCCAGGGTCTTAAAATGTAGCAGGGTGAAACTGTTACGTATGTACACTTTTATTCTGGAGTTAAAGGCAAGCACAACGCTTTACCATGCTCAGCTGTGATGCTGTTCTTATGGGCCCTCACCTTGACTTCCTTGTTCTGTGCAGTGTTGTTGTCCTGTAAAGCCATTCGTCACCTTAGATATTACCTTCTCCAACCCAGTACAATTTAATCACAGTCTTGCTTTGTTATTTAGATGCAGGTCTGCCAGCTGTGCTCTAAAACTGCACAGTGACCAAACTTTGAAATGCATGTACTTGACATGCAGTAAAATGTGGTTCTTTAAACATTATTCTTTCATTTTTGACTTAACTATCACTTAAGCATGGTTTATAGAGCATGTAACACAAATGCAGACACCTACTGCACATTTCAGCCGTTGACAATAGCCACAAATGTGTCCCCAAGATGAGGAAGTTGCCTAATCTGTGTTACTTTCTTCTCTGTGTAATAATATGCAGAGCTGCAAAACTCTATGGACCTTTTCAAACTTGACAACATAAACATTCTACATCAGGGGTCCCTTTGTATTTCCTGTTGGATTGTTTGTTAATGCAGAGGCTGACAGGAAGTTAACAGGGGCCAAAGCTGTTGCCCTAGCAACAGAGTAGCAACAAAAAGGTCTATAAACCGTTTCAAACCGGACAACATAAGCATTCTAAATGGGTCCATTTGTATTTCCTGTTTGAATGTATGTTAATGCAGAAGCTGACAGGAAGTAAACAGGGACCAAAGTTGTTGCCCTAGCAACAGTATAGCAATGAAACAGTCCATAAATCATTCCAGAGTCATCTGCATTTTTGGTTGGTGACCTGCTGTTTACAAAAGTGCAAATGCAAAGTGGGAATATGTATGAAACAGAGGAGTCCCTCCACAAATCTCATGTCAGGTGGCACTCACTGAAGTCATGGACTTGGCCATGGCTGTCAAGACAAGGCTACATTTGTCATACAAACTATTTTATCGAAGGGGGTCTGATAAGATAGATACTGTAGATAAAAATCTATGATGTAGATGAAAATCTATGAACTGAAGTGGTAAACAGAGTGCCCGAAGTGTTTGGTTCATTTTATTTTCATGTTTTTAATCAACACTAAATGACTGCATGTGTGAACTTATGTGTTGAAACATTAAATATTGGGCACCTTTTTGCTGTTCGCTGTTGTTTTAGTGTGTTCTCTTCTTATAACTGTGCATCAGAACAACAGAGAAAATTGTATCCAGGAATCCAGGTCAATCAAAGTGACATTGGTGATGTCAGTTGAGCTAATAGCTGTGTAACTTTCTCAATGTTAAGAATATTATGTCTTCCTAAATTCTGTGCAGAAAGGGATAAGGTCGATAATGGCGGCTGAGGTGGAGGTGGAGCTGGAGGGAGGCAATGAGTACCCAGCGCATTACAAAGTCATGATGGACAAACTTAATGAACAACGGCAGCTGGACCAGTTCACAGACATTACCTTGATTGTGGATGGTAAGTAGTATATATTAAGGATTTATGGTGTCTTAGTGAAAGTCCTCAGCAATGCTTATTATGTTCGTGTCTGTTGTCTCTTGCAGGACATCAGTTCAGAGCCCATAAAGCAGTGTTGGCAGCATGCAGTCAGTTTTTCCACAAGTTCTTCCAGGATTTTACCCAGGAGCCACTGGTGGAGATAGAAGGTATTCTGTGTTTTAATTATTTTTTGAAGAAAAACAAACAGTCATACTTTACTATGCAGACTTTGTTACTGTGTTGCGTAAAAGAGCTTTTACTCATTACTGCTGCTCTGTCATCCTCCGACAGGAGTGAGTAACACGGCCTTCCGCCAGCTGATGGAGTTCACTTACACAGCAACACTGGTCATAGTCGGAGAAGAGGAGGCCTTTGATGTCTGGAAGGCGGCTGAATATCTTCAGATGCAGGAAGCCATCAAAGCGCTCAGCAATAAGTGAGTCTCACATGCAGCTTACCTGCCACGTGTCACTGCTGTTGAAGCTAAAATTGTGCAATGGTCAGAATTTAAATTAACAAGAGCTTGTCTTCTTTTGTAGGATAAATGAGAATCCCTCACTGACGGCAAAGAGCAAAGGCAAAAAGAGGAAGATTGCTGAGACGTCTAATGTGATCACAGAGAGCCTACCCTCAGTAGAAGGGGAACAGGTCAGTATGTGCGTGGCGGTGTGTTGTGGAACTGGAAGCGTGTTCTTGTTGGGACTGACTGTTTTCAATGTCCTCCAGGTGGAGATTGAGGTGATTGGAGAAGGGGCCATTGAGGTGGAGGAGACCGGACTGGAGGAGGTGGTCGATGCAGCCAAGAATGCTCAGGAGTCGTCGGATGACTCTGCTTTGGCTCTTCTTGCTGACATAACCAGCAAATACCAGCAAGGAGAACCTACGCTACAGGTCGTTAAGAAGGAAGGAATAGAAGAGGTATATTTACTTGTATTTGTGCGGACGTTAATGCTCTTTTGGTTTAAAACTCTATATTTACAGTAAGAGCTGTAGATGTGAAAGGATTAACCCTGCCTTGCCTGTTTGTCTTTGGCAGGAGGTGGTGTATCAGGAGGAGACCGTCACTGCCTCCAAGGTGCTGGAGAACGTCGAGGTTGTAGAGGTCCAGATTTCCCAAGTAGACAACATGTTCCGCTGCAACAAGTGTGACCGCAGCTTCAAGTTGTACTACCACCTCAAACAGCACTTGAAAACGCACCTGGGCTTGCTGGAAAAACCCCACGTGTGCAGCCACTGCGGGAGAGCCTACACGCGGGAGGGCGCCTTGAAACAGCACATCAGCACATTTCATTTTGATGCAGAAGAGCTGTCTCGAAACCAGAAACCCCAAAAGAAAGTGCACGTCTGTGAATACTGTAAAAAGCACTTTGACCACTTTGGCCACTTTAAGGAGCATTTGCGTAAGCACACAGGTGAGAGTGAAAAACAAATCTGGTTGTGTTCAGATTCATAATATGCAAACTATGAATTTTTCTTATATATTGTTGACTTCTTATTTCATATCTAGCACTGACATACATGCTTGGCTTTATATGTGTTATCTGTAGGTGAAAAACCGTATGAGTGTCCAGATTGCCATGAGCGATTTGCAAGGAACAGCACACTGAAGTGCCATATGGCAGCCTGTCAGAACGGGGCTGGAGCCAAGAAGGGACGCAAGAAACTCTATGAATGCCAGGTACAGTTTGTGCACAATCAGGGCCGTCAAACGCTCCTCTGCCAGCGCAGCATCTACAGTAGAGAAATGATTTTCACATTACATGAATGTTTTCATTCACTTAATGCAGAAAGACCAGACATTCTGATGTGCCTCATTTAGTGCACAGACAGATGTATTAAATAATCTACTAACACTGTATGTACTGATAGATTGTCATACAGCTTAGATTGTGGTGTTTTACCTTGAGAAATGTATTTATCTTAGTCAAGTGTTTCCTCCTAGTGTAGGTAATTACTTCACCCACAAAGTGATCATTTGTATGTCAGTTACTCGCTCTATGTTACGTTGAATTTGTGAAGAAAGCTTTTGTTTTCTGGCATGCCTCCACTGTGACCGAAAAAAAAGAGAAATTTGAAATGACTTGCAGTAAAAGAGGGCCGCCTTTACAACAGCTTTTCAATATCTAATCAGCTCCTTACAAACTGTCATGCAGTTTGTGCAGTATCATCCAAGTCTCATTTAACAGCTGCATTTTTGCTAAAACCTTGCTTGTAAAAACACTTCCGCATTAACGGTCTCATTAACGGACGAGCATTGTGTCTGGACAAGTGTGTGTGTTTGAACTCCAGCACATGCTTGCCCAGTTGTGCTGCTTGTTTGCAGAATTGTTTTGAATACTATGGTTTTAGTGAAAATACATGTTTGGGAAGTGCTAAGCATATGACTGGATAAGTGACGCTTGAATTATACCGCACTCGTTCTTCAAGAGTTTTTAAATGGATGTTTTGATACAGTTTTGCTGTTCTTAAACTCAGTAACCTATGATGTTTATTTAGTAGGGGCCGCACACATGCTGCATCTCTAACCACCTGGAAAATGCAAGGTTGGGTGCTGGGTGCTACTTTTGTGCCTTTTTGTGCCAGCTTTCAAAAGCATGGTGGCAGGTTGCATTTGACGTTGCCAAGCGACCTTAACAAGCATCGTATCATAGCCTATTTACCTGAAATCCTTAGTGCAGAGCTGATCTTCTTCCAGGTGCTGTTTGTAAGTGTGTGGGCATATCGCAACCATCGCGCCCAGAAAAATAGGCGCTTGGGGATGCTTGCACACCGTGACAGCATCTCTTTGGTGTTTGAGCATGCCTGACATGCGTCTGCATTGGACACAATGAATTTGAAGGTGCAAAAAATGCGGCATGTGTACTGCCCCTCAAGAATTTTCTCCGTTTTTGGTGATTTCATGTACTGTTGAGGCATGTGAGAAGAACAAAGATCTCTTTATGAATTCAGTGTAATATGGAGTGATTAATTGATGTACAAATAATTATTTTGTAAATGAAATATTCCTTTAATTTAAAAAAATTTCAGGCAGAAAGGTCAAATAATTAATTGGTTTCAGTTTAATACATTTGAAAATTTGATGCTTTTTTGGGTTATACATTTTTAAATAGAATATTTTTTGGTTTATTACTGCTGGTCTGACAAAAGTAGACAACTGATGACCTAACCTTTGGGTCCAGGATATTGTGAAGGACATTGTCTCTGATTTCTGAGGTTTCATAGACCCCATGATTCCTATGTGACCTACTGTTTTCTCCCACACCTCCTCCATCAGGTCTGCAGCAGTGTCTTCAACAGCTGGGACCAGTTCAAAGACCATCTTGTGAGCCACACTGGCGACAAGCCCAACCACTGCACAATGTGTGACATGTGGTTCACCCACCCTAAAGAACTAAAGGCCCACCTCAAACAAGTCCATTCCATTGAGGACACCAAGTCAACTGAAGAGCTGGTCATCACTGACTCTGCCGCCACCGCCGCCCTCGCCATTGCAACACAGAGCATAGAAGGATCCGACACAGTCCTGCTGGATGATGGAATCCAGGTGGAACACGTCACAGTGGAGCCTGTGGATGTGATGGAGATGGGGGAGACCGCAACAGTCGTGATGGAGGACGGAGGGGTGACGGAGATGTGCGAAGAGGACGTGGAGAGATTAAAGCAGGCCGGGGTGCAGATCCAGGTGGTGCACGTGACCACGACTGAAGTTGACGGGCAGCAGGTGGTGAACTCTCAGGTGGAGGTAGAGATGGAGGGGGAAATGGTGAGCGTTGAGGAGACGGAACAAGCCTTCGTATGAGAATGTGAAAAGGACTTGTAAAGGACTTGCTGACACTTTGAGTCACAAGCAGCTGCATGGTCATGTAGCTGATGTATTTCCAAAAAGAACACTGCATGTGGGATACAGCATGTAGCCTAAAAATGTCCTGCTGGCCGCCATTGCATTGAACGACTCTGTTTCCACCACCTCTCACTCTTTGAACTCTGAGATATGGAGAGTGACAGAGACATAAAATTAATGATCCTGTATTTATTTCAGAGCTGTTTGCCATTACATCGTGTACTCTTAATGACTCTACAGTGCTTCATCAGTCAATTTTTATGCTTTTTTTTTTTATTTGTGTCCTTATTTTATTCAGATTTCTATTATGTTCTCTCCATTTGAGTCACTTGCCAAGACAATTTGACGATGAATGAAATGTTTTTGTTGCAGCTCATTAGACAGCGTATGTGTGGTGCTGACGATCCTCAGTGTTAATGCTACAGTTTTATTCAAGCTCATTTTTCATATTGACTTTTGGTGTTTTTGTAGGAAAAACCGATACGGAATAAACTGGTTTCCAGACTGGGTTACAGGTCTTACATTAATCTACTGAATTCCTGATTATCTTTAGAGCATCTCAGGGTATATAGATGTATGAATGCTGTTGATGTTAAACCTGCTCTGTATCTGTTGGATGTGTAAATAGACAAGTGTTTTGCTTAGCCTTGGCTTTTGCCCCTGTCATTTCATAAGCAAGACTAGTCAGCCACAACATTAAAACCACTGACAGGTGAACATAGATCACTTTGTTACAATGCAGTTTTCTGCTGGGAAGCCTTGGTTTCTTGCCTTGTGAACGCACTACACAACCAAACACTGTTGCAGACCCCCCCCTCATGGCAACGACACTCCCAGATAGCAGTGGCCCCGCAGCAGGCTGCTCACGTATGGCCTGAGGAATGTGACGCAGAGCTCAAGGTGTCGACCTGGCCCTCCAAACCCCCCAGATCTCAATCCGATTGTGCATCTGTGGGATGCATCGGTACCCCGCTTCATAACCAACAGCAATCAAAGGATTTGCTGCCAACGCCCTGGTGCAAGACACCACAGAACACCCTCAGAGGTCCTGTGTCCATGCCTTGGCAGGTTAGGGTCCCCACTGTGGATTGGATTGACTGATCTGTCAAGGCATGGACACAGGACCTCTGGGTTACTGGCCTGTCCCACAGATGCTTGATCAGATTTGGATCTGGGGAATTTGGAGGCCTGGTCGAGTCCAAGGGCTGTTTGTCACGTTCTTCAAGCCACTCCTGAGCAGTTTTTGTGGTGTTTCATGGTGTATTATCCTGCTTCGGAGACCACTACCATTGGGGAGTGTTGTTTTGCAGGATTGGGGATGGTGCATGTTAAGTTGGTTTCCTGGCAGAACATTGCATTGTTATGAAATGATAAATGTTATTCTCTTTACCCATCACTGATTGTATTGTTGTGGCTGATTGGTGCATGTGAGTGTTGTGTTTGCAGCTTGTTTTCACTGCCCCCAAGTGGATAAATGGCTCACTTGCTGGGTAGGTTGTCCAACTGCAATGTGCACAGCATATGTGCATATAGTGTCAAGCTTTTAATTGTCATAAATTGGTTATGATCCAAATTTAAAATGAAAGTAATTCAGTCTTGACCTTGGAAATGGCAGTCTGATGAATAAAGCTTCTAGCAAGGAGCCAGCTGCTGAAGAAGACCATGAGATGCAGCTGAAAGACCTGGACAAAACTTGAGAGTGGACTTCCATATGGTAAGTGAAATTTATAAGGTTTTGGCACAATAACCTTAAAGTTAAAACAACCAGTCACACACACACACATGAATATTGAGTCTGGGGCCTCCTGCTGGTCCCCTGACCCCACCTTGAACCTCTGCTGTGCTAATAGCCTGGCAGGTGAGCATGGTGCGTGACACACACAGGTTAGGTTACCAGAGTCTGGAAGAGCTCCTGTGGTCCTGAACTGGAGTGATCCTGCGGCCCGCTGTAATTCTTTCCCTCTGATTGGTTGAGACATACACAGTGGACTCCTCAGTCCGTCGCTGATTGGCTGCTTCACCTGCCAGACAAGCGGATTCCCTTCACAACAGACCGACCCGGGGAGCAGCTGCTGCAGGAGCAGTGCGCTCAGTGTCACCGGGCACCGGAGAAAGATGATTTCACAGCGAGGTCGATAACGCGTGTCGCCGCGGGCCCGTGAGGACATCCAGACAGGTAAGACTGATTCACACATGACACATCTCTCTTGTTGTGATGTTGGATTACAGAGAGCAATGCACCGGCTCATAGGGAATGGCCTGCTGCTGCTGCGAGGAGGTGTTAACTGTTGACTGTCATTGAGCACAGACACTTCATTAATGCACTGCTGCAAGATCATCTACGCGATGACAGGGTTGTGTTTGGAAAGTTCTCTTATATAAATATACATTTAAACCATAAGACATCACAGACATGAAACATGACGCGACTCACCTTGAACATGAATCTGTGAAGGTGGCAGAGCGCACATCATAGGAACCGAGAGCAATTTATCTCTCCATAATCTCCCTTTGAATTGATTTTAAGTCATGTTTTGGTGTCGTTGTTATTAAAAGCAATGCATCATTTCTGGAGAGGGGATGACAATGCACCACCTGGCAGTTACGCACGCACGTGACACGCGCAATTTAATATATTAACTTCGGGGAACCACCGTGACTCACTGATTAAGCTCCTTCAGTGTGTTGGACACACAGTGTATAGGGAATGATCTGGTAAAGGATGAGAGAGTTAAGCTCCAGCACCTGTTGCACGGAGATGGAGGTTTATCTGTCTTCATGCAGTATACATCATAGGTCAGTTTTTGTCCGATTAAAGCGTGCAACAATGGGCCCCTGGGCACAGTTATGCAAAAGGCCCCAATGCCTGTCCTACAAATGCCTCTGTTTGTTGTATTGCATCTCTCTCTGGTTGTTACGCAATTTTTTGCGTTTTTTTTGTCTCTGCCTTGTTGTTTAGTGTCTCTATGGGGTCATTTTGTACCTTTTTTGTGTCACCTTGTAGTCACTTTATGTCTCTGTGTAGCTGTTTTCGTAGTTATTTTGTGTTTCTTTGCAGTTCCTTTCCATCTTTGTGTTCTTTTTGTGCCTTTTTCTGGTCATTTTGAGTCTCTTCCTGGTCAGTATGTGTCAATTAGAGTGACATTTTGCAGGTGAAGACACCCTCACACTGTGCCCAGGTAGGCCCTTTCATTAATCCATCCATGCATTAAAGCAGTGGTTTCCATTCGGTCAAGCCGCAGGGTTCAGATTTCTCCTTCGTCATTAGTTTGAGGTCCACACAGTTATATATATATATATATTCAGCGTCATACTTGCGTTTGGCCATGTCATCGAGCTGGTTTGCTGTCTCTGTGAAGTAGCTGTCAGTTATTCACTCACTCTACAGCAGGAAATGGCACTACAAAATGAAAGCTCTGTGCCGGAAATTCACTGTACTAATACATTATTAAAATAATGTGTGTTTTTTACAAACTTAACTCGTTAGGGAGTCACTTGCGACAATTCAGAATAGACCCAGGACCCTGTTGTTAAATGCATACCCCTTTTACTCCAACTCCTAAGGAATTTTATCAATTTCCTATATTCTTCATTCATGGAGAGGGCAGGCGAGAAAAACAGTTTTCTTCAAGAATTAAAGGTAACACAGCACAATAACTGATATACACAGACTCAGCAAAGAGTTACACAAACAGATTAGATTTACAAGACACTGTATGTCAAATTATTCCAATAGGCTAGGCCAGTGGTTCCCAGCTGGTGGGTCAAGGTCCAGCAGTTCTGAATGGACCGCAAGTGACTTGTGAACGTGTCAAGTTTTTAAAAGCACACTTTATTTTTAAGTACAGTGAATTTCTGGTACAGAGCTTTTATTTTGAAGTGCTGTTTCCTACTGTAGAGTGAGTGAATAATGGATAGCTCCTTAACAGAGACAGCAAACTAGCTCAATTCAAGTATGATCCTGACATACACTAATGACTAAGGTGAAATCTGGACCCTGTGGTTGGACCAGTTGGGAACCCCTGGGCTAGGCTGCTTGCTTTAAGATATAAGGAAAGGAAAGGACAGGAGAGGAAAGGAAAGGAAAGTAACCCTAGAATCTGAATTAATTATACACATTGACTGATGTATTTGCATCTGTTCTGTGTTTGCTGTTTGCAAAGACAGAGGACAGATTTGAATGACTCAGCAGCCAGATTTGGATGTGTTGTGTCTCCAGCTACATGATTTATGTGTCTTTTGGCCCACTACAGAATAAAGCAGGTAATCTTGAACGTATAGCATTAAAACTACAGTGTTTTCCACTTATTTTTCTTAGTCTAGGATTAGAAACTGCATATATTTCCATAATTCTGAAGCAAAAATAGCTTCTTTTTAGAGTCTGTTTACTCCGGCCTGAATGAAATCTGTTCTTGGTTTTTATTCTTTTGATGGTCAATCAGTCAGAGCACATGAAACATTGCGCTTCATGTGTTCTTTCTTTGATGCAAGCCTCTTTGAAGCGCTGACAGTGAATAAAATGCAAACTCAGATGGCTATTTAAAACAGGAAGAAGCGATCGACCCAACAGATTTGGATTTAAACGCAGGATTTACAGTGTGTACTAGATCGTGTTGTTGTGTTGCCTGCATACAGTGGCATGGTAACTTTGTTAAGGCCTCAGAGACATTGCTCGCTCTCTCTTGTGTGAACTGTACATTTTTTTTACAACTATTGTAGTAAGAAGTCATGCAAAAGCTATAAGGTATAAGCTTTAGTTTCAGTGCATCCATCGAGGCCTGTGCAGCTTTGGTTTGGACTTGTGTGTGTGTCAGAGGGAAGGGATTTAGAGGTCACTCTGTTTTTAGGTAAATGTGAAATATTTGCCCCATAGATTCCAGAGAGGGCTGCCTCTCCGTTCCTAGGGCCTGTGGTCTTCATTGTCGCAGCTCTTTCACTGTTGAGCTCTTTATTCTTGTCAGCCGTGCATCTCAATTAACACACTGGGGAGCTTTGTGCGGAGAGAGCCCGCTGTCTGTGTGTGTGCACTCAGTCGTGTGTATGCATTTACATGAGCGCACCAGTGCTTGTGCACAGGGAGTGTGTGTGAATGCGTGTGCGTTGGCGCGTGAGTCGTCTATGTGCCTGAATGCATAACAGCAGTGAAAACGAGAGAATGTGATACAAGCGCAGGCCGAATAAGGGACTGGGTGTAAAATGAATGGGAGGCAAAGGAAGGGGACACAACAGAGAGGAGGTACCCTTTTTACAGATAGACGTTTCATGGCTTGTGATGTGAGGAGCAGCTCCTCTGTTCTCTACAGGCACAGACAGACGTTTAGGAAAAAGTGTCTTATTCTTGGTCCACAGCTGCTGTGGAAGGGCTCTTGTATTTTCCGTTGTTGGAGTGTGTGAAGAGGCTGCTGATGCTAGCAGTGTGGTCAGCAGCAGAGTGCTTCAGGCGAACCCTCCTCCGTCTCTTTAGGGATCCTCAGACAAATGATTGACTGTCTGGTGAGTATGAACTCGTACTTGGCAAAGCTGGTAGTGTTTGCTGATGAAGGGTCGGCTGTTTGCAGGCTCATAAACCTGTTTGTGGTACCTGCTGTGCTGTATTAATTGAGTGAATTTCTGAATGTCCATACGTCTGTAATTTAAACTTGAAAGAAGAAAGTTGGGAATACTGAATACATCCATCAGTTTTCCAGTGCTTATCATGATAGCATCAGGCTAACCAAGGTCCCTTCTCCCTGGCAACGTTTCCAGCTCCTCCTTGGGGATCGCAGGGCAATCCCAAGCCAGATAACATATATAAACTCTCCAACGTGTTCTGAGTATACCCCAGGGTCTCCTCCAAGTTGGATGTGCTAGGGAAACCTCCACAGGAAGCTTATCTCTAAGGGTGAGCCCAGCCACCCTATGGAGGAAACTCATTCTCATCTCATTCTTTCTGGTGATATACCCGGACCTCATGACCATAGATGCCTTATTTAAATTTCAAATTTGTACTACAAACACCACTTCAATATAAACTTGCTCGTACTCTTGAAAAATTAAACTTGCTTACTTGATCTGGCCAGGAGCCAAAAATCGTTTTAAAATGATTTGAAACAGAGAACAAAGCAAATGAAGCTATTTTTATGAAGCTGTAACCAGTTAATGTTTGGTAATTTTTCTTGACATACAGTGTTATTAAATTACTTAAATTGGATCTATTATGGTTTTCCGTGTGTACTGTCATATGTTACCATGTTGGATGTTCATATTAAATGTGGCCAGAGTTTCAAAGTAATGAGGTAAATGTGTGTAAAGGTAATCCCTGTGAGCCTCAGACGGTTGAATACTCTGTTTCCAATTATTTTTTTGCTACTTTTGCAATAAACTGATGTCAGCTTGTGAGAGATTTCCTTATATGGTCATCCACTCCAGGCACGCTATTAGTGTTTACATTACTTAGCCTACACTGCTACATGAAGCTACGCGCTAACGTCAGGGTAACATGTAATCTTAAATCCAGTTCAGACCAAAGATTTGCGACGAGACAAGCTGAAACAGGCGACTACTTGCAATGCACTGTTCTGCAACATTCTAAAAACCTGCCATTTCACACCAGTGCAACGAGATGAAGTGGTGAATCTTCGCAGCTTTTCAGGCTTATTTTGTGGCTGAATATAATTTGTAGCCTCTTAAAATATGAATGAGGATAGTGATAGTGAGATACTGGCTACAGTTGCATTTGTAGAAGTGATGAAATGGTGAAAAACAGAAACAAAACGAGCCTCAGATGGACTGTTTAGAATAAATACGCCACAATAATATAAGTAAGCAGCGCACTTAGTTAGTCAGTGAGAATGTGTGTGTGTGTGAGGGGTCATAATACATGACACATACAGTGAGCAGCAGCAGCTACCAACCGTCTGACATCGGCACATAACGGAAACAGAGGACTCGGCGGGACGGAGCACCTGCCACCTGCCACAGCAGGTCGTTTTACCTTGACCAGCGGACTTCAGGACAAGCTGATTGGCTATAGAAACAGGTGACGTGCTTTACATTCTAAAACCAGCCACCGGTGATTTTACCAGCGGAGTTGCAAGTGACACCATTAGCCGACTTGAGTTGAGCACAGACGGCCAGTTCACACCGCTGCAGCGTTCTAAAATGGTTTTATCTCGTTGCAAATCTTTGGTCTGAACTGGGCGTAGTTGCTGTCGTTGTAAATTTCTCCATGTTTTTGAATCATTTTCCTACTGATTGTGAAGAATTTGGTTTAGAAGCTTATTTTGGTGGGTTTTTTTTGTCCTAGGATGGAGAGGGCATGACCCTCCCCTTTCTCTCTCTGACTGGCTGGTACTCATTTCTTTAGTTTTTGGGGGGGGGCTTAAAGAGGCCGGCGCCAAAACAGAGCGTCTCAGATGGAGGGTGAATACAGGTGCTCCAGCACAGACAGTATGAGGAAATTAAAGTGTTTTTTGACTATTAAAGCATGAAAACATGTTCTAGCAGAAACCCAAACTACACATATGAACATGTAGATGAGCATTATAGGTCCCCTTTAAGGTGCATCATCAGTGATTTCAACTTTAATTCACAATCAGACAATGTGTCATCTATTTATGAGGTTTCTAATTCTTCCACTGGTGTTCTCTTGTGCTCCGTGTGTGTGTGTGTGTGTGTGTGTGTGTGTGTAGGCTATAAATCCATCAGTTTGCTCGCGCACGTAATTCACATGAGTACTCGGAGGCTCAATGCAGCACTGTGTAACTATAAACATGGAGCTGAGTGCTCTCTTTCTTGATACTCAGTGCCAGTTAATGTCTAATCCTCAGCACGAAAAAAGACAAACAAACACGCTCGGTCAGCATCACCAAGCAACCAGGTAGTTCTGTTATTCAGTGGAAGCGAAGCACAAAGCAATCTGGGTAGCTCGTCTACAGACCCTCTGTGGAGATACTCTTCACACAAAGTAATCATCTGTAGATCCCATTAGTAATTTCAAAGCCCTATATGAATATGGCAGGTGTCTCACTCTCTGTTAGTAAGAGATTTTAGAAATATATTTATGAAGCTGTCTGACATCGTACTAGCTATATTCCAAGACCAATAATTATTTTATCTCATGCATGCTTGTCCTTGTAGTCTTTTTATTTACATATATAAAAGGCTGGTATTCAGGGCGTGTTGCTTTGTGCTGTAAAGTGGAGGCCTCTCCTCTCTTACCAAGTCCTTTTAGGCCGCCTGAGATCAATGCTTAGATATTCATGGTGCGATGGCAGGAAGGTGTTTGAAGGCTGGGAGACTGTACGCCTCACAAAAGACAACTGCTTTGATTTCCTAGCGAGGCTTTAATATAGATTCATTCATCTTAATATAGAGACGGATGAGAGAGAGAGAACGCCTTCAGAAGCACCAGGTTATACTAGGTTAACCATTTCTGTTCCTGCCCTATACACACTGTTATGTCGTAATAATGTCTTCTTCTGAACAGCCTAACTGAAAATCCTGTTTCATTACATTTTGCAGTGTAATACTGCAGGGGAAAAGATTTCCCCACAGCAGCTGTAACTGATATCCATATTGATGATTGTCAGCTGACATCACCATTTCTATTTATCTACATCATTTTTTTGTTCCATACCAATAAAATGCAATAATGCTGTGTCATCTCTGCTATTGTGTGGATGTGCGAGAGGTTACCATTTGCAGGTTTTTAGTATATTCTATATTTTTCTAATCAAAAAATCTAAGTAAAATTAGTCTTTCTCCGACTTACTCCAACTTCCCTATCCTGTCAGTCATGCTCAGGACTCAGCACATTCCTGTGGAGATAAAGTTTTATTTTAGATAACACAGCAGGGCGCTGTAGTTTTTTTCAAACATTACTGGAGTAAACAGGAGTAATTAGTGCATAGGGGTGTAAGAAAATATTAATACACTTAAGTATTGCGATTTTATGTTTTGTGATACTGTTCTCAAAAAAGCACTGTCAATTTTTGATTGTTTACAATTTTTTATTTTCTTATTTTGTTTACCTAAAGAACCCTGCAAACACTTTTATTTTTTATTTTTTAATGTTAATTCCTTTGCTCAGATTGCAAAAAAAGTAGGGCTATGATGTTGGATGTTACAAGGACTGTGACTGTGACAAATGCAGATCATACTGTTATGATTGCATAAAAATTAAACTTTTGTTGCATATTTTTCTTTACACTATGACAGCTTCCTAAAATTACATTTTAAAAATTGCAGTGCATCGCTTTGTTTACAGTATTGCAATATACAGCAACAATATTGAATGGTAACCCCAGTATAGTGACATGTATCGAATCGCCTGATTCTTGCCAACACACAGACCTAATTTGTTGCGGACTATTTTCAGTCATGGATAGATACATAAAGATAAAAAACAATGACTGATCTATCTATCTATCTATCTATCTATCTATAAAAACATGTCACACTTGAAAGAGAGGGTGACATCAGTATATCATGTGACCTCTGTCACATGACTCTTACATGAGCTCTTAAATTGCACACCTGTTTCCGATGCATTTTACACCCTGATGAAGATTTTGTAGTCAAAATGCGTTGTTTTATTCATGCATTAATAAAGGATTTTTAAGTACAGTCAGAGTGCCTCGGACTCTTTGCCCCCATCCTTGAAGAGCACCCGTTTTTTTTTTACATCTAACTACATAGAGCCTTAACCCAGTGCAGCACTCCATGTTTTTCTTTTTATCAGTGACTATGGATGAAAACATATGCGGTGTGCCAGGAGGTAAAGGCCTATGACACCTGGACTGTTGTGTGTGGGATGGAAAATTAACCACAGTGACCATGTTAATGGGGCGGCACGCTGGTAATGCGGCACGGTGGTGTGTTGGTTAGCACTGTCGCCTCACAGCAAGAGGGTTTCCCGGTTCGATCAGAAGGGGAACCCTTCTGTGCGGAGTTTGCGTGTTCTCCCCGTGTCAGCGGCTTCAGTCCAAAGACATGCAGATTGGGGATTAGGTTAATTGATAACTCTAAATTGTCCGTAGGTGTGAATGTGAATCAGGCTACAGTAACAGAGGTCGTTCTTGTTGGTTGAATCAGTATGTCATTGGTTCTGCGCTTTTCATGGGCTGTATGGTCAAAAATAAAAAATAGCAAATATTGTCATTTTATCCTTTGATGCAACATGAGACAGCTCATTTGCCACATGTGTTCAAACTGTGACTGTGGCAACAGTCTGCAGATTAAATACTGGAGCGCTGTTGACTCTAGTTCAGGTTAAGTATATTGTTTGTTTGTATAGTTGTGGTATTTTCATTTCAGGTGTCAGGTGTAATGTTGAACAATTGACTTGGTTGGCTGGTTGAGAGTATGAAATGAGCACATTGTTATTCTGTTAAACACCAAGACATAGTGGAGAATCAGCTTATTTTAGATCATTTGAGGTAGTTTAGGCCAATCCAGTTGTGCTGAGATCATTTTATTTGGCTGATCTGAATTTCATTATAGAAAATATATGTCTGCAAAATCAGGATTCACCTCAACCTCAGGTTCACCTTTTCTTTTTCCTCTCGTGGGACATTGTTAGAGCTTTGTTTTCTGAACAACGTGTAATTATCACCCATTTACAAACTATTACCTGTACTTTCTGTACCACGCACACAAGGGAACGCCGGTCATCACTCATACTTTCCATTAGAGATGGAATAAGTCAGTCAGGCTGTAAGTATCTTCTTGGTGGCAGCGAGGGATGAAGATCTCTGATTTGTTTACTCCGGCTCTCATGGCAACCTAAGCCTGCACCGCCCTTGGAGCAGGACTCAAGCACGGAATTAAGTGAGGATTACAATACAGCGTAACAGACACTCAAGCAGATACTGAACAGGTGCACTTGTGTCATGTGCACACAGACTCTTTACATGGAGGGTGAGAAAGGGATCTACAAAATTGGCAAATGATAAATATTCTCACAAATGTACTAGCTGATGAAAGGGAACAGATTTAAACACAATATTTAGACAATGTAAAGGACAGAGGAGGCTACCATGAGCACCACAGTTACCATTAATGACATTTCTTTGTATCTCTCTTGTGCTCCATTCCAGGTGGTCTCACTGAATGACCCATGGCTGCACCCTGACACTATCTTCTGTTCAGCCTCCGTCCTCCAACCCCCCCATCCAGCTCCTCTTCCCTCCTCCTCAACCTGTGGCCTATTTATACCCTGGAGACTCAGAAGAGCCCATTAAAGCTCCACGGACCTCTCCAGCAAGAGACATCAGTGAGCATGAGTCCATGTGGCCGGTGTGATCTCTAGCCTCATCACGCTTTCCTTGACAGCTACGAATAAGGAAACTAAGGATTTAACTACAGGAAATTCTTGAAATACAACAAGACTAAAGCTGCATGAGCTGACAAACTGATATTTCATTGTGGAGAAGACAGTTTGCAGCTGCAGCAGATTTGGGAAACTGTGGATGCAGCATGTGCTCGGGTCTACAGACTGGAATTTGGGTCCTATTTAGCTGAAATACACTTATTAATAACATTTGTTTACGGACTCAGTTGTCTAAATTATGAAATTTGGGCAAGGCAACTGAAAGACATTACCTTGTAAATGGCTCACACATCTGAAGGTAAGTCAGGTTTTATGTCCCATGCTTTAAATCAGCTTTTACATTGAAGCTATTTTATGTGATCTATGATGTTTTATTAATCTTGTGTTGCCGATAACTATGTACTTTTTCTTGTATTGTTAATTTGATATAATAAGGCAAGAAAAAATAGAAAATATATCTTTAAATATATGTATGCTGTTAAATACAAGCAGCAGCAAATATTTACTGAAGCACTTTCAAATCTTGTTATCATGTTGTTTAGTTTTAGCTTAAAGGGGTAGATTTTAAAAGCCACTCGCACAATGTAGGAACATCAATCACTGTGCAACGAGCCACAAAAGTAATGTTTTTTTTCCATATTGTGCATCCAGTTCTTCTCCACCCCCAGCCATGAGCTAAGCACCCGCCACCCTGGGCATCCCTTACAGGATGACTGCTGTCTGCCCCTCCGAGAGCAGCCCAGAAGGGGCTGAAGCCGGGGCCGGGACAGCAGGCTGTAGGGGGCCGGGGGCAGCGGGCACCGCCAGGAGCATCTCAGTCTCTGGCACAGAGACCGGGGACTCTAATGGAGAGTCTGTCTGTGGATCAGTAGGAGGCACAGCCGTGGTCCCCGGTGGCCATAGGTACGCCCGCTGGAGCCGCCAGGACAGCTCAGACATCAACACGGACGATGAGGGAGCCACGATCCGCCGCCTCACTCCGCTGGAGAGGCTGAACCTGGATATGTGCCAGGATGAAAGGTAAGGGGTCATGAGATGAAATCAAAGTAAATATATCAGACAGTTTAAGAAGAGGTACAAAGACAGTATCTTCACAAGTACAGAAATGGTTAGAGGGAATGTAAAGCACTAATGTTGGTTATCAGGTATTAAGAAATGCGGTGGCGTTAATGTGTGGTTGATTGATGGTGAGGAGAGAGTATTTATGTAGTAGTTTGATTAGTGATGGATTAGTATAGTTTGAGATTGGGGGAGGGCTAGACAAGCATGTTGCTTCTTCCTGCTCTTTTTTGGACATGAAATGTTAATTTATGTTTCTCACTATAAGTCTATTTATGATTTATTGTTTGTCTCTGTTTTGTAGGCTTTTTTTCTACAATATATTCTTTTTTTTTTTTTTAAATGTTCGAAATAAATCAAATTAAATCAAATCAAATCAAAAAAGCAGTAATCGCCGTTATGTTAAAAACACAATTTGTTGTATTTAAATGTTTTTTTGGATTGAAAAGGTGGTTAAATTACATTTTTTTTTTTTTTTTTTTTTTTTTATGTAATGTGGTCACAGGGTGGTCCGTGAGTTAACGGTGGGCAGAAGAATCGGCTTCTACAAAATTCGAGGAGAGATCGGCTGTGGAAATTTCTCCCATGTCAAGCTAGGAATTCATGCCCTCACCAAAGGTAAGAAAGTACAAGACATCAGTGAAATGCAACTGTTAAAACACCAGTACAGGAAAACATCTTCTGAAGAGGAGTAGCAATCATACTGATTAGACATAAACATATTATATAGTGAAAATGTTAGACATTTTGCACAATCAGCCATCACTAAAGGCAGAAATATATGCACCTGTAAAGATAAGAATCTTAAGTAAGCTCCCATTTGCTCTCTGCTCTGCCTTTTTATTGGATTTAAGTGATAATTTGGCTGATGAGCTGTTTCCATCAATGGGCTGCAACACTAACAAGTGTGTCCTTATGTAGCAATTCACTAACAAGGCGATGTGTGCCTGGCCGGGGGGCTGATTCAGCCACGCAGAGACAGACTGTCTGCTGCCCTTGAACAGATGGATTGATTAGAGATCTCCAGTTTCCTTAGCGACGGCTAAAATTGCTGCATGCCTCATCAAAGGCAAAAGAGAGGGATGAAAATGAGTGTGTGGCTGCATGTGCGTGCACTTTATGTTTTTAGGGTTATCTGCACTTATCTACTGCCTGCCTGTCCGTCTGTGCCGTGCTATGTGTGCGTGTGGATGTAAGTGGTATCATTTAGCTCCCCCAAAAACAATATGAGCTGCGATGCATTTTGAATGCTCCTATTGAAAGCTATGTCACAGCTGAAAGGGAGCCTAATACCGGCCTGAATAATGCATACTGACACACAATTAGATATCTCAACACCATTTTGCCACTTAAGAACTTTTCTGTATTCAGTTACCTGGGGTCTATTTAACGTCTCTTTATGAATCATTTAACAGAATACAGTAAAGATATCAGCTGTTTGAACTTGATATATGTAACGTATTTTGATCTTTATTGGCTGTAAGTTTGTGTACGTCTTTAAATGCGCAATATATTTTCCTTTCAAAACATTTTTAAAGCTGGTAAGCATAGCTACATCAGCACTGTGTGTTCCTGTCATATTTAATTTTCACCCTGACTTGACCCTTCATATGTGCTCAGACGTGAAGTCACAGTAAGTGCAGTATTACAGGAAAAAAGAGCAATTTTCCTTCATTTAGAAAAAGAAAATTCTCTTTTAAGACAGGGCTAAAAGTGAGAATTGACCCCCTGGGAGAACATAATCAAGAAAATTGGTTTTCTGAGGGCGGCTAATCCTCCATCAAATTATCTAGAGGAGAGCATCAGGCGTGGTGACTTCAGGGGAAGAGCCAGGCTCACATTTTCTATCCTCTATCTACTGTACATAAGATTTATGTAACACATGTAATGCATTATTCTTCAGAAAAAGGGTATTAATGATGATAGAAATTATCAGGACACATTTATTTAAAAAATCAACTTTGAATTTTTAATTTTTTTTTCCTGCTTTAAAGCATATCTCTGCATGTTTTTAAATGATCTGTACAACTTCACCGATCACCGACCTTAGTCTTCTCCTTCGGCATCACCAGACAAAGTGGCCATAAAAATCCTCGACAAAACCAAGCTGGATCAGAAGACCCAGAGGCTGCTGTCAAGAGAGATCTCCAGCATGGAGAAACTGCACCATCCCAACATCATACGCCTCTATGAGGTTCGACTCATACACACACACTCATATTGATTTATATGAGCTCTATCTGTTTCCCAGAGGCTTCCTCAGTGATCGCCACATCCAGCCTGACATCCATCCATCCATTTTTTTTTTTTTTTTTTTTTGTTACTATAGGTGGTGGAGACGTTGTCACGGTTACACCTGGTGATGGAGTATGCAGGAGGAGGGGAGCTCTACACCAAAATTACTACTGAGGGGAAACTTTCTGACACTGACAGCAAGCTCGTCTTTGCTCAGATCCTCTCTGCTGTTAAACACATGGTTAGTACATACACGTTTGTATTGAAAAAAATAATAGAAAACATAATCTCAATCCGAATGTAACATATATAGGATTTAATTACAATTTTTATTATTAAATAACTGTTATTAACCATTAAGATGACAACCTATGCTGTCTCCTATATGTTGGTAATAGGATTCATTTTCATCTATAGTATCTTCTGTTCTCTGCTGCTACAATGACCTGGTTTGACCATGGAGGGTCATTAAAAATTAATCTAACCTTCTAATTTAGCCTTTTAATGTTATTGCAGACTATTAATACATTGCGGGTTTTGATGCACCCATATTATAACAAACCAACTGTGAGATGTAGAAGATCTTGAACAGTGTACAGACTAAACAAAATATTTTTCTGATACTTAGAATATTTATATATATGATGGACAGTGTGAGTGTATAGTGTAAAAAGGGTGATCAGGTGTCCCGTTATGTGGGACTGCACATCATGCTTATTCCTCGTCCCACATCCTGCATATTAGGACAGTGTCCTGCATTTTAATAAGCAGCAAAACTACTGCAGTAGTCAGGACAGATGCTCTTCTAAAATCTGGCTTTTATCCAATGGCTATGAAGAAAGCAGTGAAAGCTGTCATCAGGGGGCTGTGTTTGGTGTTAAACTGCACACGTGTGGGTCAAGTGCAGGTGAACCTGTCGCTGTCTTTGCTACACTACATCAAATGGGGAAAATTACGAGTCAGTAGAAAGTCACAAGCTTTGCAGATTTAGGTGGAATATGATGGAAACTACCACAAGGAAGAGGAAATGCGGCTACTGCAAAGACTGTGAAACTGTTTTTTGAAAAAGGAATTTTTTTTTAAGTTACATATGCATTATATAAAAATGTTGGCTGTCAGAGTTATCGTGTGTGTCCTTTTAACGCTAGTAATTTCTTTTTTTTATGCACTCTTAACACAAGTTCATTCTGTAATTATGACCCTCAGCCCATCCCGTAGTTTTGGGAAATCAGGATACGATGCAGCAGTAACATTATGGATGGCAAGCAGGAAAAAAACCTCTGTGAGCAGAAATGGATAGAGAAAGGCATCAGCTTTAAAGCCCAGCCAGATGGTTCTCTCCACAAGACCGAAGTTATTTGCATTTACTGACGATGTGAACTGAGTCACCGCCAGAGTATGTTGAGCTGTTTTAATAAAGAGGGGATGATTAGTTAACATTTACACGTATAAAGTTCAAATCAAATCAAATTTATTTATAAAGCACATTTAAAAACAACCTAGGTTGACCAAAGTGCTGTACAGTAAAGGTAAAATCACAAAATAACAAAGTGCGGAGATCAAGATACGTAGCAATGTAATGTATAGTCCCATGTACACAAGTCCAAAAGTAGAGGAACAAAGTGGAGAGTGGAAATACAAAAGACTTAAAAAAAAGGGGGGATAATAGTTCAGGAGCGCTCAAAAGCTTTAGAGTAAAAGTGGGTCTTAAGTCTAGCCTTAAAAGTGTCCACAGATGGGGAACCCTTAATGGAGAGAGGTGGACTGTTCCAAAGTTTGGGTGCAGCCACAGCGAACGCAAGATCCCCTTTGCCCTTCAGCCTCGATCGAGGCATAACCAGAAGTTGGACATTGTGTTAGTGTTACAAAGTAATGTTACATTTAGATCAATATGCCCATTGTTGTTGCTTGTTGGGCTTGAGTTTGCCATAATTTGCTTTCAGCATATTTTGTGAGCGTGCAGTACCTTTGAGGTTTTTCCGGAGAATATTCTGGACAGTATTTGTCATAGGTTTGGAATGTTGCATTAATAACAAACATACATTTGCATAAAGCAAGATAATTTGTCCACTCCTATGTTGATAAGAGTATTAAAAACTTAAAAAACATCCCTTCAAGGTACATTTAGAACAGATAAATGTGTGTTTAATTTGCGATTAATCATGAGTTAACTATGGACAATCTTGCTGTTAATCGCAGTTAAATATTTTTAATTGATTGACAGGCCTAAACCTAATTGATAATGTGTTCCACATTGTCCTGCACAAAAATACTCGTCATCCCACATTTGGTTTGTTGGGATCAGGTCACCCTGAGTATAAAAGAGCTCTCATGAATTAGGAAAATAATGTTTATGAATTTGTTCACGTAGCAGCTTTACTAGATCAGCAGAATTTTAGTGGCAGCTTAAGAAAGTGTCATTGATTTTATTTCTGGTCAGGATTCAGTTTATCAACGTAGCAGTCACACGGTTACATCTTAAATCCTGTAATATTCCCACCAGACATGTTTTAAGACACAAAACTACTCTGTAATAGTTTGTGTCTGATCTATTAAAAGAAAGAAAATTACACCTCTTCCTTTTCCTTCATTGAAAAAAGTAAATACTATATTTATTTCAGATATTTCAAAAGTTTACCTGCTGCACACAAGATGTCTGCTTCTTTACTGTAAAGTCAACTCTCAGTGTTTGTGCACTGGAGGCTTCAAATTTCCACATCACACTTGATGTGAAAGTAGGTGGCTCGTGCATAATTCAGTTTCCCCTTGTTCTCTCACAGCATGAAAACAACATCATCCACCGTGACCTGAAGGCAGAAAATGTCTTCTACACCAGCAGCTCTTGTGTCAAGGTGGGGGACTTTGGCTTCAGCACGCTGAGCCGCCGCAGCGAGACACTCAACACATTCTGTGGCTCCCCACCTTACGCCGCCCCCGAGCTCTTTCGGGATGAGCACTACGTTGGCGTCTTTGTGGACATCTGGGCCCTGGGGGTGATGCTGTTCTTCATGGTGACGTGCACCATGCCATTCAGGGCAGACACTGTAGCCAAACTGAAGCGCTGCATCCTGGAGGGGGCCTACATCATCCCCTCGTGGGTGCCTGAGGCATGCCAGAGGCTGATCAGGGGAATCCTCCAACCCATACCGTCTGACCGCTTTACAGTGGAGCAGATGATGGGCTGTGAGTGGCTGCTTCCTGTGGACTTCCCACGTGCCATGGAGCCCTTTAAACTAGACCCATCCCACCTAGCAGAGGGTGATCCATCTGAACTTGCGGAGGAAGATATGGAAGTAAAAGCAGCACTGGAGACACTGGGAATCACCCTGGAACACATCCTCAACAACCAGGGGAAAGACTGCAGGAGCTCCATCACAGGCGTCTACAGGATCCTGCTGCACCGCGCTCACAAGAAGCGGGCTGTTGAGAGCATGCCTGCGGTCACAAAGGTCGCTGGGCCAACTACAACCAGCAAAAAGGAACGGCTAAAAGTGTACCGCAGTTTAAGGCACACTTCTAAGCTCTGTGTGATTCTGTGACAAAATGCTCTGCTTTGCTCTGGACTTAATAGCTTGGGATGAGATTGCATGGATTTAATTAGAAATAAAAAATTTAAAAAGTGCTCTACAGTCCAGCAGTTTAACTTGAAACCATGGTATATAACTCCACTCAGCTTCTGAAATCTGGGATTTCTTACTTTAGTATCTTTCTTCTAGTAAGTGATATTAGTCTCTGTGAGAATGTTGCTGCAGGTGAATCATTATTGTCTCCCTTTTTGACAGGGACATGGACCTGTAATACTATAATTATAATAATGTTATGAAGTGATTTATTTATGTTAACATAATGATGATGAGATGGCACACGTATCTTTTAATTTGGGTCATGCAGGCCAGATATTTATAGTCCACTCATTCTCTGTTGTGCAGGATCACCACTAAACCCTATGAGAAATCAATGTAGCATCAGTCTTAAGGAAAAAAAGAAATCCACCACATTATGCTGAGCGGTGAAACATGCAGTCAGTACATGAAATACAGTGTCTTTACTGTTTAAATGCACTTTTCTTCGATGCCTTAGTTTTCTATCATGTTATGAAACCAGCCAGACTGGTTTCATTATACTCCTTAACGTGTGTGATGACATGAATAGAGAGTTCACATCTCACCTTCTTATGTGATGTATCTCTATGAGATGTTCCTGCTGTCAGACCGGTTAACATGAATGACCTCACTCTGTTTTTCCTGTGGCTCCATAAAGCCAATAAATGTCATTAAAGTGCAAATACAGACATATCAACCACCAAAGTTATCAGTTGTTCATGTGGCAAAATCCATTTTCAGTTCAACAGTTTCTGTAATTATTTTTTTTTTAAATCATCTGATGCCATGTTCATGCTCATGTGTTGATTAAAATACATGTAAATTTAAATGCATCATTCTTTTTTTTAATGGGATATTCTTTAACCTTTTGAAACCTGGAGCAACATCACTTTTCTTGTGCTGCTTTCAGACGCCATTCACAAGTATTTAAACCCTACATCCCTGAGCAAATTGGTGCGATTTATTTTGAAAACATGGGGGAAAAGGCAGTGGGCAACTTGGTAAGAAATGTCCCACAAATTGGAAAAAGAAAAAAAGAGATTTATGAAATTAAATGAAAAAAGCTACTGAAAAAAATATTATTATTATTACATATTTAGAATTAATAAAGTATTCTGAATCTGAATCTGAATTATGGCACACACAGTATTATTGTCATTTTTAAAACAGTTTTTGATGAGCTGTATTTGGTTAACAAATTTTATTCTGTTTGAAATTATATTTTTTTTAGTTGTGTTTGCTAGGCAAAGTAAAATGATAAAAAATAAATCTTGCCATGTGTGAAAGTAAAAATGCAAAGTTGAATGAATGTAATGATCATCTTCCACCTAACTTGACTGAAAGGGCCAGTGTGTGGGATTTAGGGGATATATCAGCAGAGATGGAATATAACGCAACGTGTATGGGTTTTTCTTCAGTGTATAATCACCTGAAAAAAAAGAGAATTGATGTGTTTTCATGACCTTTCAGTTGCCTGATTATATCTACGCAGGGAGTAGGTCCTCATACAGAGATCGCCATGTTGCACTACCATGTTTCTACAGTAGCCCAGAAGGGACAAACCAAACACTGGCCACTGCTTGTGGCTGTGTGTGTGAGTGTATGTGATTGAAACTTCGTGGTGCTTCTGCATCCAGTGTGAACCCAGCGTTAGTGTTTTCACATTGGTCAACGTAGTCGGCAGCCCCTATGCCACAAGCAGTGTCAGAATCTGCGTTATTCAGTGTTTTTACCCATTTAAGGCAACTGGTCTGTTTGTTTTGGAGATGAGAGGACCTCTGCAGACAATTTCTCCTGGTCAAGACCTCCTGAACCATGAACATTCAAGGAAGTTTTATCAGGAGAAGTTTCAGCTGGTTGCAATCTTCAGTCCTCACCGATAGATGCCACTAAATCCCCCTAAATCTTACACACTGCACCTTTATGAGCCTGTTTGTCATTGCAGAACAGTCAACAGTGCTTAAACTGAGAACTAAATTAGTAACAGCAGACTCTATCCACACAATACTTACACTGAGTACATATTTCACTAAGCATTGTTGTTGCTGGGCTGGCTATCAAATATCTCTTTTCAGGGGTGGCAACATGGTTCCTGTGAGCGCCTAAGAAACCTGTGGTCAAGCCATATGGGGTCTCATTTAAAGAATCTGACAAAAATTCAGTCAGAAAATCCTGTGGGTGTCTTACAGTTACAGTTTTTAAGCCTCTCTTTTTGCCAGTGTGTCCTTCTTAAACCATGCCTAACGGACTATTTAATCCAAATTAGACCACTGGAGCCTTGCATTATATTGAGCTGAACTTAAGAATGCAGAATTTAGGCACAGAATGAGGACTTTGGATTTTGCCTACCCTCTCTTACATTGTAGTCATGTTCAAAAGATACACGATCAGGTCTTCAATATTTCTTCAAGATTTGGCTGTTCACATCAGAATCTCAAGTCACATAAAAGTTGAATGATTTCAAATAAAAGATTTTTCTTGAGTTAAAGACTGATGCTAGAACTGGCTCATTTTGAGACCGCCGTTTTTGATTATCTGAGATAAATACCATATTGACAGTAGTACGACTACTGTACGAGGTTGTACAGTGCCTTACTAGGCTTCCAACCACTAAAACATTCAGTACACAAGTCAAATAATTTCACAACTTCTTGTTTCATAGTTATTTGAATATTCTATTTTGGGATAATATAATACTATTTATAGATAATATAGATAATAAATAAACAGAACACAGATGATATAATACAATGTCTTGTATTTTTGTACAATGTATTTTGGGAAAACCGGAGTACCTGGAGAAAACCCATGCTGACACGAGGAGAACATGCAAGCTGCGCACAGTACACTGGAACCAGTAACCCTCTTGCCTAACAGCGAGATTGCTACTGGTTCGAGCCCTGCTGTGCGCAGCGCTGGAACCAGTAGAGCTACTGGTTAAAGCGCTGCGCACAGTGCGCAGTGCTTGAACCAGTAGCCCTCTCGCCTAACAGTGAGAGTGCTACTGGTTCAAGCGCGGCGCACAGTACGTCTGGAACCAGTAGCCCTCTTGAGGGCTACTGGTTGGAGCCCTACTGTGCGCAGCACTCGAACCAGTAGCTGGAACCAGTAGGGCTACTGGTTCAAGCACTGCGCACAGAAGGGCTCGAACCAGTAGCAATCTTGCTGTTAGGCAAGAGGGCTACTGGTTCCAGACGTACTGTGCGCAGCGCTGGAACCAGTAGCCCTCTTGCCTAACAGCGAGAGGGCTACTGGTTGGAGCCCTACTGTGCGCAGCGCTCGAACCAGTAGCTCGAGCCCTGTGTCAGCTTGCATGTTCTCCTCGTGTAGCTGCCTAACAGCAAGAGGGCTCAGCAAGAGGGCTCTTGCCTAACAGCAAGGGGGCTACTGGTTCAAGCGCTGTGCACAGTAGGGCTGGAACCAGTAGCCCTCTTGCCCTAACAAGAGGGCTACTGGTTCGTGCCGCCGAATAGAAACTATGAATATTGTTGTTTGTCTCATTCAGTATATTTCTAGTGGTAGCAGGTTGCAGTCGCAGCTGTCAAGTTTGCCAGCGATGACCTGGACACACACAGGAAGCAGTACTGAAGCAGTTAAGCAGACATACAAGCCTGCTTTCAGCAGACCTTTAGCACAGCTACGCCACCAACTTCTGGTCTGACCTACAGCCGCAGGTGCCTCCGCAGCTGGAGCCTCGGCAGATGGAGCTTCAGCGGTTGGAGCCTCGACAGATGGAGCTTCAGCAGTTGGAGCCTCGAGAGCTGCAGCCTCAGCAGCTGGAGTTTCTGCAGTTGGAGCCTCAACAGCTGCAGTCTTAACAGCTGGAGTTTCTGCAGTTGGAGCCTCAGCGGTTGGAGCCTCAACAGCTGCAGTCTCAACAGCTGGAGTTTCTGCAGTTGGAGCCTCAAGAGCTACAGCCTCAACAGCTGGTGCTGCTGCAGTTGGAGCCTCGACAGCAGGAGCCTCTGAGAGGCTCTGACTTGTCTGAGCCTCAGGTGTGGTATCCAGTAGGTTGTGTTCGCTCTGCTCCTCACATGTATTTTCTGCCAAAATCCTAAATCTGTTGCTGACATTCTCAACCTCAACTAAAATCTCTTCCTCCTGCCTCATGTATTGCAGGTTACTAAGGTTGATGATTGTCTTTTTTAAGTCTCCTATCTGGAGGAAAAGCTCCTCTGTCATCAGCTCTAACTCAGATTTAAAATGGGTCAGCTGCTGAATGACCACATTTTTATCCTTAATGACTTCCTCCAGTTCTTGTATGTGACTCTGAAATTCACGCCTTTCTAACAACTGACTTTCAATTTCTGCTCTTGCAGGTTTAAGTTCTGCTGTCAGGCTTTTCTCTTTTTGCTGCAAGCAATGAACTTCTGCCCGCAGATCATCAGTCTCGGTCTGTTGATTATCTAAGTCTAAGTTTTGGCATGTTATCCTGCTTTGCATACTACAAATTTGCATCTGTGCATTTTTCAGTTTGTCCAGCAGGATCAGTTTCTCCCTCTCTAGCTCTCTGAAATTTTCAATCTCTGACAGGTAGCGGCAATGTGATGTTTCCACCTCAGGACAACACTGATGAGCGTGGACCTTATCCTGAGACATCTTGTTAATGCTGATATGGCAGCAGGTAAATCCTTCAATCCTTTCCTCCCGCACGGGAGAGACCTGTCTCTGTGTCAGGAATGAGGGGTATTTCTGAATTTTTCAGATTCGTAATGTGATGTCATTTGTAACATTGATGGCCCCGTCCCCCGCCCCACCCCCACGCGCATGCGCACGAATGTGATTGGTGCAGCTCGGTTTCATGGGCATAGAATGAGCATCATTACTGATAGCAAATTCAAATTGTGCTCTCGCGAGAACTCTGGATTTCCAGGGTAGCTGCCACTTATGTATGGACTGTTTCATTGCTATTCTGTTGCTAGGGCAACAACTTTGGTCCCTGTTTACTTCCTGTCAGCTTCTGCATTAACATACATTCAAACAGGAAATACAAAGGGACCCATTTAGAATGTTTATGTTGTCCAGTTTGAAACGGTCTATATGTAGAAAACAAGACACAGTTGATCGACTACATTTCCCAGAAGCACCACGACCACGTTTCCTTCTTTTCCAACCAGAAGCGTACGTACCAACGTCCGCCTTTACGTGATGACGCAATTTCTGCCTTGTTGGAAGGTGGTTTCAGGAAGAAGCGCTGTGACGGTGGACTGTAGCAGTGAAGAAACGCTGAGTGGAGAAACACAGAGACACCCGGACGACCTCACTCGAATGGTATTTTGTTTACGGCCATCAAACGGTAAGAAAACAAGTGTCGACATTTACTATTTTTAAAGTTTTTCCTTGTATTTAATGTCACGAGGGACCACGCCCTCTGAGTGATAAAGATAATGACAGGAATATTAAGCTAACACACCGGCCGGCTAATCGATGTTAGCCTCAGACATGTCCTTCTTTCTGCCATTGCAGTTTATAATGCAGTCGCTTTTTATGCTCTTTAAAACCACAAGCGCATTATTGTAATTGCTCATGTGTTCACTGCTACGTTAACTAGGTCATTTCATGTGTGGCTTGTGTGAAACGGCTATGCTGCAAGACAATGCTCTTATTCTGCTGGACAACAAAGACCCCATGCAGCCGGACTGCACTCACATTCATTTTATTTTAATCTCTACTAGCACTGTTGCGTAGAAATCCTCCTTTATTTGAATTCACTAAAGGCAATGCGTCTTATTTGTTTTGACACTTGATATTGTATTCACATCTCGTGACAAAGGCGTGGGGGGGGCGGGGCTCTGTATACGATGAGGTCATGATGGGATCTCAGCAATGATGCAATATGATAAGATGTTGACATTGCTCTTAAGTATACGTGTTATTGACTCAGTGACACGGAAGTATCATCTGTCATACTTAAGATCCCTCCCTAAATATTGTGGCTGCTGAAGTCTTTAAACAACTTGCAGTCAAAACAGCATGCGCATGCACCTGCAGGCTGCACATGGAGCTCAGTGTGTGGGTAAAACCAGATGCTTACAGTAAAGTGGGAGCTTAGTGGGCCATCGCTCCATTTAATATACCTTTCTGTTGTCGTGTGACTCAAGTGTCAAGGTAATAATATCTCAAATTCTTCAGCAGAGTGATAATGAACAAAATGTAATGATTTATATATATGACTTATGGGACTTTGAGACATAACTGAGGTGTGTGAAAGATCTCTGATAAGCAATTGTGTGGTAGTCGAGAAAGTAGAGGCAGTCAGCTAGATCTGTCAGATTAGTTCAGGAAAATGCATCACTTATCTGCAGGGCTGCAGCTAGCAAGTATTTTCAGTATCGATCGTCTTGTTTCTTAGTTTAATCACAACTTCCCAGAGCATTTAAATTGACTATTTTGTCCGAATAATAAGTCAAAGTGACACGATGAGAGAAAAGCATAAGCAAATAGTTTTTTTTTTCCCAGGTAACTGTCTTTATAAAACAATTGTTTTTCTTTTAATTGGTTAATCAACTTTTTTCTGTAGAACTATTTAGTTGTCATATATTAAGTTAATTGTCCATTAATTTTATAATCAATGGATCAGTTTGAGTTATTTTAAGGGAGAAAAAAAAAGTCAAAAATGATCTGATTCCAGCTTCTTATATGAGAATATTTTCAGGTTTCTATACTCCTCTGTGACAGCAAACTGTATATTTTTGGGTTGTGGATAAAATAAGACATTTGAGGACATCATCTTGAGCTTTGGGAAACACTGATCAACATTTTTGGCCATTTTCTGACTTCTTATAGACACAACGGATAGATTAATTAAAGTAATTGACCTATTAATCAACAATGAAGATAATTGTTAGTTGCAGCCCTATGTGACCCAGCATCCCAGACAGTGTGTAGTTTGACTTAATACCTGTGTTACCATTCTCTTATGATATGAACATAAATGACTTGGTTAAAGAAGCAATGCAGGAACCTAAAAACCAATGTATAGACTCATACAGAAGTAACCCCTCTCAATCATCACTTATGACCCACTAGAAGCATGTGGTGCTGTATTTTCTTATTTTCTTTTTATTTTCTGTGTTTGGGACATTTATTGGTGTCGCCCCAGAGAACTCAGCTGAGCTCAGGGCTTTATAAAAAAAAATCCCAACAAAAAACCCCCCAAACCAGCAAAATATAGCGAGGCAAAATGCTTTTGCTATTACTTTCACTTTCCCCTCCGAGCATGTTTACAAAGAGTAACTGACAATCCTGCAAAGCATGCCTTTAACAAATATTACATTTAATGCAAACGGAGTGATCTATATGCTGCTGTGTCGTTACAGATGTCAGTCAGTGACGACCTTCCAGACATGGACGGAACAGACCTGTTAGGCCTGCTGTTCCACGGCGGAGAGGATGGATGCACTGAGCCTCTCTTCCCAGATGAGAATGGGCTCATTGAATCCTGGCTATCGGAGCAAGATGTAAGACTTCATTCACAGAAAAGAAATATAACTTTAGGGGAGGACTGCTGTCCAAGACTGTATTTTTAAACCCTATGTAGTCTTGGTAAAAAGCTAATGCAGCACTTTTTTCTCTCAGATGCTGACAGGAATGGATACAGAGGACTTTTTGTCCAGCTTGTTAGAGGAAGAGGACAACATGGGTGCTATCTGTCCCTCTCACTCTCCCTTGGGCAGCGACAGCGGCATATCTGACGACAGCAGCACTGGAGTTGGAAACAACAACCCTCTGGGATGCCCGAGTCCCCAGGGCAGCGATAGTGACGTCGTGCCCAGTCCCAGCTACTCCCAGCCCAGCCCGGTGCATTCGGACCCCGCCCTGGCCTTTGGAGACCCGCAGACAGAGAGCCTGGAGGTCTTAACAGTCCAGGCGGATCACAGCTACTCTCTGCTGCAGAGCGGTGGCAGGGAAATGGATGTCCTGCAGAGTGTGAGGGCAGAGAAGCCAGATACAGATGTCTTCATTGATCTGGGTATGTTAAGTCCAAGAGCTCTGTGATTCTGATGTCACTTGTGAGTCCTATAGTTTTAGGTACTTGAATATTTTATAGCTTTGTCACTCAGCTGCCTGATAGCCTCTTAAATCCCCACAAAACACATGGATTAAGTGAACGTCCTGTGTGAGGGTTGCTGCATACATAATCATGGGGGCACTTCGCTGATCAGTATGGCAGATTAACTTTATGTCAAATATATTTCTCTTGTGTCAGACGATTTGGTGAGTGAGGCAATGGAGGAGGACATCACAGACGAGCTGCCCTGCACTTTGGCAATTGAAGACTCAACACAGGCCAGCAAAACAGACCAGGTCAGTTTTTTCCACTATTTCCTCAATTCTGATTTTTTTTTAAAGCTTGCATGACGAAGACTGAAAGTTTGAGTTTGGTATACCTGACTCATGTTTGTGACATGATTGGCGAGCTGTTTCTTTGCAAGTTGTGCAAGTTGCACACCACAACTGTGGTACCATCTTGAACAGTCGATAAAAATCTTTGTCTTTTCTCCCTTTAGTTCCAGTTTAAAGAGATTGTGCTCACTGAGGAGGAGAAGCGACTTTTGGGAAAAGAGGGAGTGACTATTCCCACACACATGCCTCTCACAAAGGTAATTTATGCCGGGAAATGTTTATTTACTTGAGCTGACTGGCAGCTTGTGAACAGCTCTGGATAAGAACATCTGCCAAATGTTGTAAATGTTTGTATAATAACGAGCATAATCAGACAACATGCTGCTGATGCATCAGAATAATATTGTTGTTCATTTTTGTAGCAATGATCATACAATAAAAACAAACTTATCTTTTTTTATCGGCCATATGTGAATATTTTTGGTGTTGTATCTTGTTATGATTATTATTTTTTTATTTAAAAATGGATTTTTTGTTTGTCTGCGGCACAGCTGCTCAAGGCTGTTATGTACACGCCGGCATCTGTCATGTCAGCATTGTGGTGAAAGCCTCCTCTCTGTGTAACAGGCCGAGGAGAGGACCTTGAAGAGGGTCAGGAGGAAGATCCGCAACAAGCAGTCTGCTCAGGAGAGCCGCAAGAAGAAGAAGGTTTATGTTGATGGACTGGAAAACAGGTGAGATGAAGGGTGTAAAATGACTATAAATGAGAAATGAATTATCTCTATTAAATACTTTAACATAGATACAAGAATTTTTGCATCTGTTCTTACGATAAGAGTGATATAAAAAGTTGGAGCTGGGTCGTGTTTTGCATTTCTGCCACATAGTTGCCACTTCATTGTCTGTTGATCAGCTAACTGATGATTAATGATGAATTGATGAATTGACCCTTCACTAAGTCCCGCCCCAGGACCCAGACTGGCCAATCATGATGTAGCACCACACTGGCTCAGATCAGGGTCCCACAGTTTCAGATTTCCTTCATTTTCAGGCTGGTTTTGTGGACTTGGAGCTAAATGTTGTGCCTGGGGCACGTCGTGTATTAATGATACTCCTTACCTGGAGAGGTTGGAAAAAGATATACGTTTCTTCCCTGTTCCAAAACCAAAATCAAACTCTGATAAGTGTAGGGTTAGCTAGCTAGCTACTGAAGATATAGCCTACTGAATGTATACACATGCTGCTTTTGCTTTTTAATGATTATAACAGTGAAACAAAGACCGACCCTGCTGTACAGGAACCAGTGAAGGGAAGCAGGGAAACTTTGCTGATATTCAACCAGCTATGTGTCATCGCACTGTGCGCAGATGACCATTGTTTCACTTCCCCTGGAGATCCCTGCCCTACACAGCTGGTTCAATATCTGCAAAGTTTCCCTTTATATTCATTGTCTTGTGTGGCGATCAGCAGTGATGTGGTGGTTCACTTTTACACTGTGATCTGTAGCCTATAGTTCATCTTTAGCTTCTAACTATCTTTGTCTTTTTAACCTGTTGTTGCTGCTGAGTCAGTTTGACATCCTGGATATATCCTTCAAACACAGACTGTAGACCCCTCTGTCTGCTTCTCTCTGGAATCACTCTTTCATTTCTCCAAAAATATGATAATATTTCTTCAGGGAGTGCAGTTAGTTACAGTGTGGGCTCCATGCTTACTGTGACAGCTTGTTGGGCCATCACAAAGGAGTGGGGCTTAGCGAAAGGTCAATTGACAGTCAATAGTCTTAGCATTGATCATATACTCTAAGTCTGCTCGGATAAATATACTAATCACTGAGTCACTGTCTACCACAGGGTTGCCATCTGTACTGCACACAACCTGGAACTACAGAAGAAAGTCCAATTGCTTCAGAAACAGAACATGTAAGCACTCTTGAGATATTGCCTCTGCATTAATAAGTAATAACATGTATCTAGAAATTGTTTTGACTGTCCTCTTTGCTCTTACAGCTCCTTGATAGAACAACTGAGGAAGCTACAGTCTATGGTGAAGATGTCGACCATGAAGGCCAGCACAACCAGCACTTGTGTCATGGTAAATTTGTTGACTCCTCTTTCTCTCCTGATTAATGTTCCGTAATAAGTGTCTCGTTCTTTGTCATGCTGCAGTGCTTTTTTTCTCACTCTCTCCTTGGCTTTGCCCTCCAGGTGTTCCTGCTGTCTTTCTGTCTCATCATCTTCCCGTCAGTCAACCCATTTGGCGGAAACAAAGAACAGAAAGAACTCTACACTCCCTCCTCCAGTAAGTTACCTCAAAATGAAAAACCTTTCTTGACATGCTATTTTGATACCAAGAATTTCTTGGATGCACAGTGTGTACTAGCAGACTGCACCACTTCTCCCTGGTAGATTATCAAGGGAATAGTTTCTTTGACCGCTCACCAGTGTAGTGATGTTTTGAAGCCCTTTTTACACTGCCTGCTCAAGACGGGAACATTGTGTTGTTATCGTGCCTCGCCTTTTTGTATAAACGGTAGGAACACAGGAAGAGGGGGCAGAGTTGCATTACCTTTAAGCTGGTGGTAGTAACAGTGCAGAGCAACAGAGCCAAGTTAACGTATGTGGAAAAAGTGTGAGTTGGCAGGGGTGTGATGTTCTGACAATCACCGCCACACTGGGGAAGGCTTTATGCTGCTGTTGTGTGGTTCTGTTTAAAAAAAAGCAAACCAAGTATATTTAAGAGTCTGCGTTGCGGCACTATGGTGGGATCTCTGTGTAAAAATGGCGTGGGATTTCATGAAAGTCTTTGCTTTTTTTTTTTTGCAGTCATCTCCCGGACCTTGCGCTCGCTGCCACCAGAAAGCACAGACGCCATAGGCTACCTTGAGCCCGAAGAAGAGGAGCTTCTCCTAGTGCCCCAAGCAGAAGTGGAGAACGTCAAAGCCATCTTCTCCGGCGGTCAGAAGAATCACACCCCAGACTTCCAAAGGGTGGAGCAGCCCGACTCGGAAACAGGTGTCAACAGCAACTCCTCGGCAGACTTCCCCAGTCCGGTTCAGGTGGCAGAGATGAAACCGGGGCCGGCGGGTGGAGTCGGAGCCTTACAGGAAGCATCCATAGAAGCTGCTGTTGCGTACGAAGTCACAGGATCCAAGGATAACTGGATAGACCGAAATCCCCCGTCTGTCATATTACAACAACATCGCTCAGATGAGATGTAGTAGGGAGCTGTTGATCAATATAACCAGCAGAGGGAGCCATATTCATATTTTAGGTACCAGAGGGAAGCTTAAACTTAAAAAGGGATCAAAGGAACATAACAGTAATTATGGAGCTATAGGATCAGTCTGTCTGTCTCTACTTTTCCCCTCTAACAGCCTTCTCATGTACTACTGTGACTTTATTTGCACTTTGTTCTTTTTTGTTTTTATTGCTCCAGTGGGCAAAAAGAACCGCAGAGAGATTTCCACATTTCAGCAGTGCGAACTACTTGACTTTGACTAAAATTTTCAAATTTGTCGGCAACACTGCAGGAAAACTTTTAATAATCTGGCAGTAGATTACTTCAAGAGAAGTATTACTTGATGGCATTGTTATTTATCACTAAATTCAAGGGGGAGCTTTGTTTGACTCGTCTGTTTGATCACAAATGACTCTCCTGTATTAAATTATTGTGAAAATAATTAGTCTGCCAGTGTGCACTCCAAATTAGCCAGAAACATCCATTGTATAGTAGAACATAGGCTGCTTGATTCTCATAAAGCTTGATCAAAGTGGTTGTTAGACCATCGTAATGCTTAAGCCATTGCAGGACATTTGGCCATTTAGAAGACTTGTAAAGTTTGTTAGTATTTCCCTTGTAACAAGGGTATCCATGCTTCTTTTAATTTTAATTTTTTGAATGCTTCGTTTTTATGTTGTACAGTAAAGCGAGGAAAAAAAACGTCAAAATATAAGCAAGACACTGATCCCTTGACTTTGTCTTTGTCAGCCAACCCCAGTTTACCCCCACAGTCTCCTCTTTTTCAACTTCATGGGACAGTTCTTACCTTTCTAAACATGTCTGAAATACGTTAGCACGTGCGTGCACAGAGTAAAGGGGGTTTGATGTATTCGCTCAGTAAACGGTGTTGCAGTAAAATATACTCAAAAATGTAATGACCTGTTTTGTCAGTGAGGCATTTTTGTCATTTTATTTGTGTACTTTTTATGTTACTATCAGTAATACATGGAATCAAAATGGTATTGGAACTGCTTTTTGTTATAATCGACAGTCAATGAGATTTTAAGTGTTGATCATGTTGAACAAATGCACTGACATTTGACATAGTCCGAGAATGAACTGTAAATATGCTTAAATGATTGTAGCTCTGCTGTACATTGGAACTCTTTATGTATAAGACATGTCTGGACATCTATAATAATAAACTTTTTATATATCAGAATGACTAAGAATTGTCTCTGTTACTGACGAAGGAATAGAAGGATACCTGTCTACCGTGAACCTTATTTTTTGACTTGAGGAAGCTGTTGAGTATGCAAAACATGCAAAAATTAAATGTTACAAAGGAGACACAGTTTGCTAGAGCAGTGGCTCCCAAACTTTTATCCTTAAGGGACCCCTTTTCCATCACTGAGTAAACTGACACCCCCTGACTAAGTGACATATTTTATGGATATGTCTTGTTATATTTAATGTATAACAGTAACAATGCAACACAACCAATTACCCAAATAGTGGATGCAATAATAATAGTGCATTTTATTCATAGGCACCATTTAACGCACTCAAGACACACCTTACAAGACACAATTTTAAAAAAAAAACAAGCAGCAATGTATCCATAGATCGTTAAATCAAACAGCGCTGTAATAAACAATACAAGTTAATAAAACGACTATACAAAAATCATAATTATAGATATTAGGTATGAAATCATCATTATAAAGTCGTCATCAGTGCAAGTCTCAATATGTGTGTCACCATTAAATCAGACTGATGCCAGCTTGAAAAAAAAAAGTTTGTGTAAAACGGGTGATTCCAAATATTGCATCAGAGATGACTTTTCCTGATATTTGGAAGAACATTTTATACTCTCTTTCTTCTTCTTTTTTTTGAGAAATTGTGTACTTTTCCAAGGCAGGACAAACCTGTTAAGCAGAGAGTGAAGGCTCTGTAAACATTGCATGTCCTCACTATGCCCTTATCCTGTGAGATCTTAATATTTGAATAACAATATAAACTAAAAATAACAATTTCATTTACTTTACCTCACAGAACTGGATGAAATGCTGAGATATAGGCCCACTGAATTTATTCATTTCTGTATTTAGATAGGTTTTCTTACACCCCTTAGACTAGTGACCCCCCTAGGTGACCCTTAGGGGGGGTCGGGACCCCCAGGTTGGCAACCAGTAGGCTAGACATTAGTGTGGATACACATGTCAAACATACGGCCTGGGGGCCAGAACTGGCCCACCTAAGGGTCAAATCAGGCCCTCTGGATGACTGTGCACACCCAATATTAATGCACTTGTGAAGGCTAAGATGTGCCAGGCTTCAGGAGCAAGTTAAACAGTTAGTAACCCACTGTGGTCATATTAAATCAGCAGCTTCAGTAGCTTCCACTCTAGTTTGGTGTGTTGATGTCATCATTTCTACACAGGGGTGGAAATATATGTACAAATGCACATGTAATGATACAGCCTGAGTATAAGGCGGCACGGTGGTGCAGTGGTTAGCATTGTCGCCTCACTGCAAGAGGGATTTTGGTTCGAACCCAGGGTGGGGGAGCCCTTCTGTATGGAGTTTGCATGTTCTCCCCATGTCACTGTGGGTTTTCTCTGGGTACTCTGGCTTCCTCCCACAATCCAAAGACATGCAGGTTAATTGGTGACTCGTAATTGGCCGTAGGTGTGAATGTGAGTGTGAATGGTTGTCTGTCTCTATGTGTCAGCTCTGTGATAGTCTGGTGACCTGTCCAGGGTGCACCCCACCTCTCATCCAATGTCAGCTGGGATAGGCTCAAGCTCCCTGCGACCCCCAACAGGACAAGCGCTTATGGAGAATGAATTGTTAAAATTGCACCTATTTTTTTTAAGATATCTCAGGCTGTTTATCATCTGGTTGTAAATGGGTATTTTCAGAATGTACATGCTCTTCTTTACAACAAAAGAAAGGGTAAATGTGTAGGTAGTATCATTTATAAGTTATTGTGTGGTTTTACTGATCTGGCCAACTTGAGAAGAATTTGGTCTTTATGTGGCTCATGAACTAAAATGAGTTTGATACCCCTGGTTAACAGGATTTACCTGAGAGGTTATCTCTATACACCTTTATAAATTTGCTTAAAATGCTCTTCTCAGCTTCCGTAAGTTTTCGTTATCCACAAAACTCTCCTCTAACAGTCCTGCAGTGGCATTTTTGTGATATCTTCAAAGACGAATTAGAGCTACCGGAAGTACAACCACAGTCTGGAACTGTTTGCCACAGCCTCTGACCATTAGAGTTTTTTGAAGTTAGGCATCTTACTCGAAGTCATGTGGGAAGACTGTTTCTAATTTAAGCTCTGCTGGGATTTTCACAGCCAGCCCAGGATTTCCCCCCATCCTCTTAGCTCAACTGCTTACTGCACTCAGGACTGTAAAAGCCATAAAATTCCAACAGCTTTGGGATACAAGACAGATTTATGTAATGTTGTTTATCCGACAAGCAGAGTGCCTTGTTTTTGACACACATAAATTACATTTTATGTGACCTGTATGGATAATAGAAGGTCATTTTAAGATATTCAAGGCAGGGCAGGTATTCAGCTCCTGTGAATTCAAACTGTTTTTTCAAAGACTTTGTTGCTTTTTTTTCTCACAAACTTCACTCACTCTTTCTATTTATGTATCCTAATTCTTCCTACCTCCATTTCCCCCTGTAGTCATGCTCCCTGCCTGGCAAACAATATTTGTCTGACTTTACAAGTAACCTCAGCTGTCGGGGAGTAACAACACGGGTTACAAGGGACTGGCTGCTGCTGAGTCACAATGTTGGAAGCATGACTCATGAGCTTATTCAACATGTTGAGACTAGTTGTGTAGTGAGAGGAGGAAAGATCACTCGCTGAATGACCAGCAGGTGGCGGTGTCAGCCCGGATTTGTGACACTGAGTTGTGTTGAGCAGCTCCATAGATGGTGTAGATTAGGTTAAAGGTCAGGCATCTTTAGTTGCATTTGAGTAAATGTCAGCGTGGTTTATTATTTGAGTCATCATTTATCAGGAAAGTCGTGAAGAAAACAACATTCAGAGTGAAATGTTCCTGTAATCAGACCATGCTGCGGCACTTAGACTCCTGTTGTGTGGCATTAATGCCTGTTATGTAGGCTACTCTGCTTATATCATACTAGTTAATTTTAAAGTTAAGGCCACTGTGTAAACATGCACAGCCATCTGCATCTGTCTATAAAGCCAATCATGTTGAATGCAAACATGCAGACCCACTGATAAGATAAACTGTCCTGGTCTCGGCACGTGGCGCTGCAGGAGGGGGGGGGGGGGCACGCGCATCTGTCGGGCATCTGCCGCGGGGCACTGAATGGAGTAGGGTAATAAAGAGTGTGGGGCTCACGTAAAGACGCACGCACACACATACACATCCCCCAGCCTCATGAAAGGACCGGGGGGCAGGTGGAGGACGTGCGTATTGTTGTGCCACAAAGTCTCCAGGACACGCGTCAAGTCAGCCCGGCAATTAAAGCTCCCTTTTCAACATGGAGAACAAAAAGTGGCGTGTGCCGGCCACAAGCTGTTTTTGGTCACACCTCCAAACACACCATCAAGACATCTATTTGGGTCAGGACAGGCTTGCAAGTCTTAGTAGTGTCGACTGTAAACACACAGAACAGCAGCAGCAGTGCGTTGGGTAACCTGTTGCATGCGCCTGCAGGTGCGCCATCAACAACCTGTTTATTGAGGGCAAGGCTAGACTTCAGGGAAAGTTCGGATGAGCTATATATAACGCAGCAGTGATTCCCCAAGCTGGGGAAGTCCAGTCCTTAATAGATTGTTCCAGAGCTTATCATGGGATATATTCATTTCACCACCGATTCCACTCATGTTTTACTCACTAGCTTTCCAGTGACTAATCTGAATATTCGGTTACATTATCACCTCTGGGATGGCCGGACATGGATCTGCCTTGTAACATGTCATGGAAAAGCAGAGTTGGTGGATAACATTTATATAACCGAGAACCACAGGGCAGGTTCCGGGTATTCAGTGATGGAGTTGTAAACAACCTCCAAATAATCGCATTATTAAAAATAACATTGTGTTTATTCTTCAGAAAGCACCTCATTTATATGTTTGCATGATCAATTCAAGTCATAAACACCCCAGATTATTATTTACTATGTGATATTCAGTTGAAGCCAATGGGTTCAAGCTTTACTGTGTCATAGGTTACAGTCTACAATGACTCTGAAAGTCCACCGTAAACAGGACTTTAAGTTTTTCTTGCTCACTGTGGTGATGCTGGATGTTGACAAGGCAAGCAGGAATCGGTGGTGGGTGGGTGGAGGGGGGGAAATTTCTTGAAAGGTTGTAATCTTGCCCCCACGTGGGGTTGTCAACAAGCTCCGAGTTACTGCCCGGGGACTTTTGCTTTCCTCACCCCGGCTGCTCCGAGCCAATGGTAGGAGGCAGGAGCGGAAAAGACCGCCCCTTGCCGAGAAACTATGCTGAGCTGCTATAAATCCACCCACAGCCTGTTCCGAGCTCAGAATAACGCATGAGACTACTCAGAGACACACACAGCCCTTTTTCTGCTTACTGCAAGAGCCCGATCGCGCTTTGGATTATAACTATGACTCTGGAAGAGATCAGCGGACAAGAGAACACAATGGAAAACGCAGATAGGTGAGTGTTTTACGCACGGATACAACGTTTTATAATCTTTTATTTAAATGCTGTATACCTGTTTAGCCAAATATGCCCAGTGTGCTGATGATGTGTGTGTTTCTTTGTCAAGGATGCAAAGTGCAGGCGCAGCCCTGGAGGAGCTGCTGGTCGCTGCTAAGAAGCAGGACTACCTGACAGTTGGAGTTTATGAATCTGCTAAAGTCATGAATGTGTAAGTATTGCAATTCGTGGTATTTTTAACAACAGTTTCCATTTATTCTGGATTTTACGCATACGCATGAAAGAATGTGCTCTAACCAGCGCTCTTGTCTGTCCCACAGTGACCCAGACAGCGTGGCATTCTGCGTCCTCGCCACCGATGAGGAGTACGAGTGCGACATCGCTCTCCAGATCCACTTCACCCTCATCCAGGCTTTCTGCTTCGACAACGACATCAACGTGGTGCGCGTTAATGACATCGAGCGCCTGGCCGACCTCGTGAGCGCAGATGAGACCGGCGAGCCCAAGGACGCGCACTGCATTCTTGTCACGGTACGTTCA